AGATGCTGTGTTTTCCTCTGTGGTTCCTATCGCTAAGCACAGATCCTGGACCATAGCTGTCACTAGTACATGTTTATTGAACGAATGAATAAAAGTATTCACCATCCTTGGAAATGCTGACTTTACTGTTTCCAAAGTCTGTATTTTTCACCAGGGACAAACCTCTCCAAATGTCAGTTTTCCTTATTTGTAAATGAGGAGGGTGCGCTGGGCGCTGCCTGAAGTCCTTTTCAGTTCTTACAGTCTGGTACTTGGATTTTAAGATCTATCATCCTTGAGCATATTCGAAAAGAAACCATGCAACTTCTGAAGAAAATTCCAAAAAAGGAGTTCTGTTTTGAGCCACGGCGGTAACATTGAAATAATAATTTGGCTTTTGGGTCATACTGTGCCACTGCATGTGTCGCGTGCCAGGGATTTTAGCACTTGAACATGTGAGTGGTTTATTTATGGTGATTGGAGTCTCCACGCCTTTGCTTACATATCCTCTGTCACTTTGAAGAGACTGTAAATTCTCATTTGCTGGGGATTTTCAACTAAAACTTAATACAACTACTTCTCAGGGATATTGCAGATGGGACTTAAGATGTAATTGTGTAATGATGGAACTAATTGACTGCTAAGATCTTGCCTAATGATGAGATTAGTTGTGTTGTTTGACTGCTTTTGTTTTTATGCTGCAACAGGAAAAAAAAGTACACTATTTTTTATTTTCATCTCTTCCTGGATTTAATATCAACATTAGAAAGCCACCAGAAGTCTTTGTTTATCAAAATTGTTGAACTTTTGTGCATCCATAAGCTGAGTATAGTGGGTGGTCTCCAGCTTGCTGAAATGACCCGGGTGCAATCTTGTCTAAGTCCCATTTATTTTTGGTCTTTAGTGTAGTCCTTTAAATTTTTTTTTAAACTTAAAAAATGTAAAATACACCATAAATACAGAAATCACATAAAACAGATTTGTACCTTAATGAATTATTAAAGGTGAACATTCTTGTAACCATAACTCTGGTCAGAAAATAGAACTTTTGGCCCCATTGGTATGGTTCAGTGGTTGAGCATTGACCTATGAACCAGGAAGTCAGGGTCTGATTCCTGGTCGGGGCACATGCCCAGATTTCAGGCTCCATTCCCAGACGGGGACATGCAGGCGGCAGTCAACCAATGATTCTTTTTGATCATTGATATTTCTATCTCTCTTTGAAATCAATAAAAATAGTTTTTAATAAATAAAAATATTTTTAAAAATAAAATATCTAGTAGCACATAACTGAAACAGCAAGCTGAGTGTTAGTCTCCTTTTATTTTTTTATTTTTAAAAGATATGCCAGTCTGTGCTATTTTAAATTTTATTTTATTGATTTTGTACAGAGAGGAAGGAAGAGAGATAGAGAGTCAGAAACATCGATGAGAGAGAGTCATCGATCAGCTGCCTCTTGCACACCCCCTACTGGGGATATGCCCACAACCAAGATACATGCCCTTGACCGGAATCGAACCCGGGACCTTTCAGTCCCCAAGCCGACGCTCTATCCATTGAGCCAAACCGGTCCCGGCAGTCTCCTTTTAAAAAAAAGAAAGAGACCTAGCCAGTTTTGCTCAGTGGATAGAGATCAGCCTGTAAACTGGAGGGTCTTGGGTTCTATTCTGGTCAAGGGCACAGGCCTGGGTTGCGGTCTTGATCCCCATGGTGGGTGTGCAAGAAGCAACCTATCAATGATTCTCATCATTGATGTTTCTATCTCTATCTCCCTCTCCCTTCCTCTCTGAAATCAATAAAATTAATTTTTTTAAAAAGAAAGAAAGAAAGAAAACGGAACTTTTGCCCACAACCCCAATGCCTGTGTCCCCTGTCCCAATCCTGGTCCCTGCCTCCCATATATTAATAAAAGTGTACAGGTTTTTATTTTAATCACTTATTTGAATTTAAGTTTCATCACACTGCTAGGCATCCTTAAATACTTCAGCTTTGCCTTTTCAAATATGTGAGCTTTAAGCCATTTTAGTCTCAGGTCCTCCTCCCAGCCTTTTTTTCTCCCTTGTAACTGATTGGAGAGGAAATTGGATTACTGGGCCTGTATTTACTCAGGATGGATTATGCTGATGGCTCTGGCTGCCCCGGACCTGGCTGTGTAGAACAAGCGTGGCTAGTATGTGCCTCAATCCTGGGATGTTATTCTGCCTGCAGTACCATCCCCGGGTCTCCTTACCCTGGACCTTGTTCTTTAGACTATCTCCTACTTGGCCTTCAGAAGTTAGCCAAGACCTCACTCCTCCTAAACAGACTTTCCACCTGGTCATCCCTGTGTCCTTTTCTGTAGCCTCATGACACTGAGGACATTGCTTCTTTAGCCGTGCTAACATAAGAAACATGCAGCCCTATAAGTAATTTTTGTGCATTTGTTTGAGTCAAACTGTCAACAGTTGCCAGGAGTAAAATCTCAACACATTTGAGATAAAGCTCTAGAAGATGGCAATTTTGCACCTGACTTTATACATTACAATCAAAAGAGGAGACATAAGTAGGTTTGATGAAATTCATTGGTGATAGATTGGAGAGGCAAGAAAAAGCAAAGCAGGAAACCTCTGGAATTAGATAAAAAGTAAAATGATACAGGATAGTGAATAGTCAACAAATAACATGATAAAAATAACAAGAGGATTGGCAGTCTCTGCAATGGTGTATTGGTTGTGCCTTGAGGGGTCTGGAGTAAGGGAAGTTATCCAGACATTCCAAAGGTGTGTTATGGTAGATACTCAAAAGACTAATCGACAGGCTCAGTTAAAGTAAAACCACAGGCAGATTTCCAGAATTGGTGATAATGAACCCGGACAGCCAGTTTTATACTAAGCATTTATACTATTTAATATCCATATGTACCCTACGGAATTCGGGGTATCATTCTGTAAATCTTCCCTGATTTTGTCAGGGAAGATTCTAGCCTAGGACATGACTACCAGCCATAAACTGTTTTTAGTTATGACATTTTCATTGCAGACCATCCTTTGTGGTTACTTGAGGTCTCTGAGTTTGCAAGGCCACCATGCAGGCCTTCCCTGAGCTTGTCAGGTTAGCTTGTGACCCATTTTCATCCACATTTATTTTCCCATCCAACCTGCTTTTCATCCACAGGAGCTTCCCTAGATTCTCCTGTGTGCCTGGCACGTGGGAACCAGATACAGAGTTGGACAGCTCAGATCCTTGCCCTCAAGAAGCCCCTGGACAGGAAGGGTCTGACAGAAATGGTGTAAAACTGAGCAGAGGAAGGAGGCCATGGAGAGTGTGGAGAGGTTCCCATCCTAAACTGCGGGGTGGACAGGAGAGACCAGCCACAGGTGGATTTCCAGGATTGGTGATAATGAAACTGGACAGCCAGTGGTCCAGACTGCCTGTCACTACTTGAGCCAACTGAGCAGACAGAGTTGAATCATATATGAGTATTTATTCCGATAAAGCCGGCAGCATGGGAGCACAGCAGGTCATCCACAAAAATCTGTTCTGCACACCCCATTAGCCGCTGCTTGTATTGGGTAGGACAAAGATTACATGGGGAAGTAGTCAAAAGAAATAAGAAAGGATATCATGGTTACTGGTTACAGGCAATGTGGGCGGGACTTCATTGATTGGGCAACAAGGTTGTATCCAATGTGAATTATATCTCAAATTGTTTAAAAATAAATAAAGGAACCAGGGACACCAATAGTTCAGAACCAGAGCCCATCTTAACATCATGGTGACTTTGACATCATGAAAGAACTTTTCAGCTGAATTTAATTTAGTTGAACAATTTAAGTCCACTAGGCACATAAGCATTGGATAGCTTGCTATGGGGGCAGGGTTAACATTTTAGCATAATTTTCAAACAACTATGATGTTAAAAGGAAAATAGTCTCAGGTGAGCCCTGGCTTGTGTGGCTCAGTTGGTTGGGCATCGCCCATGCACTGAAGATTGCTAATCGGGACACATGCCTGGGTTACAGGCTCCATCCCTGGTAGGGCCATGCTGATTGATGTTTAGATCTCACATGAATGTTTCTCTCTCCCCCCCTTCCTCTCTAAAAATCAATTTAAAAATTTTTAAAAAAAAGTCTCAGGTGAATGAAACATACCTGATCTGAAATAAAATTTTAAAAAGTCAGGTCAAGTTAGTTGATAACGTTATTCACATATTTCTATATTCTTATTTTTTCAGTCAATTTTTGTTTCAGATATTTCAGAATTCTATTAAGAGGTGCCACTCAGTTAAGATTATGATGTCTTCTTGATGTATCTGACCCTCTTATCATGAAATAACACTGTTCTCTTCAGTTATATTTCTTGCCGTGAAGTCTACATTATTTGATTTTAAAATAGACATATCAGCATTCTTACACTGAGGGTGTGCATTTTGTATTTTTCCCCACATTTTTACGTTCAAGTTGCCTGGATGTTTGTGTCTAAAGTACTTTTCTTATAAACAACACAGTTGTTTCGTAAATTTATTTGGCTCCACAGACCGTTTTTTTTATGTAACCTCTGTTAGCCAAGTACATTTTGGGGAATGCTGTTCTAGGCCGGAGAATTCTAATTGGAAATGTGCAAGAAAAGCAAAACAGAAAATACTAACTTCATTTTTATTTGAATTAACTAGATGCCTTGTCTAGGTGACATTAGCATTATACTAAAGTAATATCTACTTTTTATTTTCCTATAATCTGCTTTAAAAAATTAAGCAGTTATCTAGCCAAATAGAGGCTAATTGCACATAAAAGGAAAGAATTCTCCACTCTGTCACTCCTCTACTCTCTGACACTGTAGTGAAAAGGGGGTCAGGAGGCGCTCCCCTCTAGTGGACCTGCATCTCACCCTTGTAGAATTTAATTGATATCTGCCCCCCACCCCCCCAACAGTCTTCCAGAGTGGACTCCCTGGTTGCTGGGGTGTCTCCTGTTTTTATATTGCATATAGTTGGCTGCTTTTCCTATGATGCTACAAAGGTCAATTTTTCCCATTACTTCTAGTCAAACTACAACTTCAAGCAGAAGAGAGAGGGGTCGTGTCTATCAAAGGAGTGTGTGCCAACCGCTATCTCGCTATGAAGGAGGACGGCCGGTTACTGGCTTCTGTAAGTAATGCTTTCTGTTTTTGTAGTTTGTTTCTTTGATTGCTTTAAGGCTCTTTATGTACTGGTGTTGGTATTTGTTAAATCTTTATTAAGAGTTTTACGAGCATTATACTATTTAATATCCATATGTACCCTACAGAATGCGGGATATCATGCTTTTTATTTCACAGACACAAAAACTGAAGTTCTGAGAGAATAAAAAAGTAACAAAGAAAACCCAGCTCCTCTGAGGCAGAGCCTGGGTGGGACTTGAGGCAGCTTCACTCCTGATCTGAGCCCTCGCTCACTGCTTTTACTGCCTTCTCTGCAAAGCTTTAAACTACTGTGTTGTTTTGTTTGTAAATCCTTATATTGCGCAGTTGTTTGAAGATCAGTGGGATGGGTATATGAAGTTTTGAGTATCAGTGTTAGAGGTCTTCTTTCAAATTTGACAAACTCTTGCAGTGTGGAATGCTATTTGAGAATGTGGGCTCTGATCCTATGTTAAGTACTGGCTCTGCTGCTGATTAACTGTGGGTTCTTGGACAGAGGATTCTGAATTAGTTCCCGTATTTGTAAAATAGAGAAATAATGATCCTGCCTATTTCATTGTTTTTGTGAAGACTATAAATTATAAATTAGATAATTTTTATATCAAGTGTCAACATCAGGGCCTAATAATAGGTCCTAAGTGGTTGCTTTCTCGAGGATGGATTTGAGGCAGCGAAGATTGGTGGAGATGGGCCGGTTCAGACAATCAATGAAACAAAGCAATAGCAGGGCAGAGAGGCCAAGTCAAGGACTGGCACGTGAGCTGGATAATATTTAGGAATACAGCAGAGGGAAAAGTCAAAGATGGCCCCTAGGTTTCTGGTTTGGATGAGAGGGTAGACAAGGAAGGGGAAAGGGGAAAAGAGCAAGTTCTGGGTAAAGATGTAGACCTATTTCGGGAGTTTCCGGAGAGAAAACCCAGTGAGAATGTTCACTACATAGCTGGAGGAATGGGTCTGGAGCTTAGAGATCTATGTTGACATATGGCTTTGGTATCATCAGCGTCAAAGTGGCAGTGGAATGGATGACGTTTGTAGGTGGAAAATAGCTCTAAAAAATGGACTGTTCACTTGGGACGTTCATTTTTTTCCACTGTTCTTGTCTTTTTTTTCTACCAGTCTGTTGTCAACTCAAAGGGTGATGTAATACTTTGGGACTCGACCAAAGTAGCATTTTAAATATTTCCAGGACAGTGAAGCAGTGGGTAATTTTGGATGCCTTTGATCTTGTAGGAAGAGGAAGAGGGGTTTAACCCTACCCTTCTCACCTCCAGATGTGACAAATTATCCATGGCGTGAATCACTGTGGCTTCTAAGGAAGTGCTGGTTTGGCTCCTGCCGGACAGTGAAGATGGTGGAAAGAAGGAAGTGTACACATTGGCTATGTCATAACTAACTATGGATAACCCTAGTCAAATGCTTTTAAAGCTTTAGCCTTTTCTAGGACTGTCCTGATCTGGCTCAGTGAGCGATTTGAGAGTGTTGCCCTGTGGCGTTCCACTCATTGAGATTAAGACCCAGTAACCTGATAATGATACCCTGTAAGGTAGCCATTGAAGGGCTTGTTTATCTCAAAAACATAGCCTGGAGTAGGTATGCTTTTAATGATAAAAAGCTCAATGTTGTCAAAAGTGATGAAAATAGAAGCTACTCTGCTTTTTAATCCATTTTTTTTAATTAAATATATTTTTATTGATTTTTCACAGAGAGGAAGAGAGAGGGATAGAGAGTTAGAAACATCGATGGGAGAGAATCATCGATCTTCTTGCCTCTTGCACACCCCCTACTGGAGATGTGCCCGCAACCAAGGTACATGCCCTTGGACTGGAATCAAACCTGGGACCTTTCAGTCCACAGACCGACGCTCTATCCACTGAGCCAAACCGGTTTCAGCTTTTTACTGCATCTTTGAAACTACTGGGGTCCTTAAAAGAGGAGATGCATTTAAGATCATGGACCTGAAAACGGAACTGTCTCTCATTCTTACAGAATTCTCGACAAGTTAGAATTCAGTGAGTTCTGGTCTCTTTTCTTGATAAATAGGCATTAAGCTTCCAAAACTGTTGGTTCTGTACCATCAGAAGCATAAAGTGCTCTAAGAGGAATTTTCTTTTTTCTTCCTTAGCTAACCAGGACTTTACACAAGAGTAAGGACATGGCATTTTATTTCATCTGAAATGTGTTTCTGTCTCCTTTGATGTGTGTTAATTCTTCCTGATACAGCAGTGAGAGTGAATTTAGCAATGCTTAGAGATTTACCACACACTCCTCTGTAGAGATAAAGCTACAGCTGTTCCACATAAATGGGAAATTCAGAATTTATCGGTTTCCTCTGAGGAATGGCATCATGGTTCCAGCTTCCATCTTAGGCTCTATACTCGGCAAGTTCACGGTTAATCGCTAATCTGACCACTCCATCTGGGTGGCCTGCTGCCATGCCAGTTCTGTGCAGATCCTGTCCCCTTCACGTCAGGCTGGGCGGGCTGTGTCAATCTTCAGATGAGAAAGTAATCACACACCTCAAACCAAGGAAGTGCTGGTGGTTCAGCAGGGGGCGGAGTCAGAGCTGGGGGAGTGGAGCTGTCAGCAGTTGCCGCTGTTGGTGAAAGTCCACGGTTGTGACCAGGAGCATCCCTTGGGTGTGCAGTGGCCCCTTTAACCCGGAGAAACTGTGGTTATGAACTTGCACTTGCCAGAGGCATGGTTCTTCCTGCTCTTCAGCGACCCGGCCCCATTCTGGCCTGCTGTGTTAGGGCTTATCCCTGTGAGGGATCCCACAGAGATGTGTAAAGCATGCCAGTTCCCCTCAGAGAGAGAGAGCGCTCTGGCTACATAAAACATTGTGGTCTCGCCGAAGCCGGTTTGGCTCAGTGGTAGAGCGTCGGTCTGCGGACTGAAAGGTCCCAGGTTCGATTCCGGTCAGGGGCACGTACATTGGTTACGGGCACATCCCCGGTAGAGGATGTGCAAGAGGCAGCTGGTCGATGTTTCTCTCACATCGACGTTTCTAGCTCTCTATCTCTCTCCCTTCCTCTCTGTAAAAATCCAAATAAATAAATAAATTAAAAACAAAACAAAACAAAACAAAAACATTGTGGTCTCTAAGTCACGTCAGGTAGGTCACCACCAGTTGAGTGCATGAAAAAGTAGTAAGTTGTGTACCATTGTTTTTCTCTACCACCTTCATGTATTAATGGTATGAATGCATTCAGGATAAGGATTTCTTATTGAAAACATTTCTCAAGGGTCTCTGAACTTTTGTATCTTCGAAGCTAGAACATACAAAAGTTCAGAGTAACTATATTTAACTGCCAAAGCCTATATTTGGAGGCAGATGTGGAGTCATCTTTAATCCATAACAGACTCCTTATTCCATTCCATAGCAGGCTTAATTCTGTTGCTATGAGCAACAGAAGTCCAGAACAAATATTAGGATTTATGATTTCTTAAGTGTGCACAAAATTGTAGTAGATTTTAAAAAAAATTGCATATAGTGAGGCAATTGTAGTTTTAAGTTTAAATCAGCAAACAACCTCAGTCTTAGCATTGAAATGAAACAATCTGCCTGGTCTTTATCGGCTAGAAAGCTCCACATTGTTTTCTGTAAAATGTGAGAGACTGTGCTAACCAAACAAATCGTTTCAGTAAGTGCTCGAGTGTGTGTAACCTGTGTTGATCCATAATAATGAAATATGAGAAATCATTTATATTCTCTGAGGATATACATTTAATTACTGCAAAAGTAAAGTACTTTTTTTTTTTTTAACCTACCTGTAGAATAACTTTCTTACTTGAGGGACCTTTACTATGAAACCTATATGCAAAGTAGGGAAACTAGCTTTTTGAGGGCTCCCTTATCTAGATTGACAATATATACTGATCAGATTTGTCAGAAAAATGCAACAATTAAGGAGGAATGTATATAATTTTAAGAGAGAAAATACAATTAAATGCAAAGGTTACTACCTAATAAGAATTACTATTGCTTCTTTTAGAAACCAATCTTATAAAATGTTATACAACATATATATACACACACACACACACATATATATATATATATTTTGCAAGATTAAGATAAAATTTCCTTTTCACTTTTCACAACTTGTGTGTTTGAGTTTGTTCTGAAGTAGTCGGCATTGATACTTACATCGTGTCTGTTTTTAATTATCAGAAGTGGTGTAAGCAAAAGCATTTTTGGATTCATGTTGCGCAAACTCCCTCATAAGCCAAAACTGCAAAATCAAAGTACTGTAAAAGAACAAGCAATCCAAAAAGCAGAGCATGGGGAAATGACCAGAAGGTTCAAATCTAACATGTAGCAGCAGGCGAGACTGGTGAGGCCAGTGGCCCAGGGAGGAGCCGGGGCAGGGAGCACTGTGGAGTGACCATCCCCGCACTCCTGTCCTCTGTGAAGGGAAGTCACTGTGCACAGCCACACTGAAGGGTGCAGGGTTATGCGTCATCCCCTTGGAGGAGGTATCTACATACATTTTCTGGAATTCTCTCATGTGAGACGCAGACAGCTTCTTACCATCCCTATGGCCGCCACTGTGGTCTGAGTCTCCACTCCCTCTGCCTGTGGTCCTCGGACCACCTCTTACACGTGCCCCTGCCTCGGCCTTCGCCCAGTGTGGTCTTGGCAGCCAGAGTAACCCTGGGAAAATGTCAGGTCAATGCCACTTTGCTGTCCAAAAGCCTACAATGGTTTCCCATTTCCCCAGTGTATTTACAATAGTTTTTAATCTCTATCTCGTTTCCTCTCTGACCTCATGTGTGACTCCCTTCTCTTCACGCACCCAGGCCTCCTGTGCTCCCTCACACGCTGCAGGCCTGCACCTGCTTCTGCTCCTGCTCCTGCTGGCACTGGCTGTCCCCTCTCTGTGCTCAAGATGCTCCGCTCTCGTGTCTGGATGGTTAACTCCTTTACCTCCCAGCATTTGCTCAAATGTCGCTTTCCCAGTGGAGCCTCCTGTGACTGTGCTATTTAGTATTGCAACCATCCACTCCCTGCCCCTCTTGTTCTCGCTTTTACTCTTTCCACAGGATTCATCCTAATTTGGCACACAAGCCACTCAGTTACGCCCATTGGTTCTTTGGTGTCTCCACCTGCTGGACTGGAGTGGCACAAAGGCCTGGTCCTCATTCAGTTTTGTCCCCTGACCCCAGTGCCCAGAAGACAAAAGCACACGTTAAATAAATGCATGTGTTATTGGAACCGTGTGCTTCCTGTATCTTAACATTATTTTTAAATTAAAATCAAAATAAAGGGAAATTTAATTTGATGAAAATTAAATTTTATCAGATTTAATTTAACAAAGTCCTCTGTGATGTCATTCCTCCAGTGACCCCCCACCCCCTTCTCTGAGGTTTGAAGTGGTGAGAAGTTCAACACTGGGGAGAGGAAAAAAGCTCTATAAACATGTTTATAAAGGTTAACAGAACTTCTATTGCATCAATTTCTAATAGAAACATTGAGGTCACAGTCACCGAAGATGATTTGTAAACTGAGAATGGAGAGAATTGAAATTGTACTTACATGGTCATGCGAAACCCCTGCTCTTCCTGAGGGCCGAGTTGTGCCCTGTGGCCCGTTTGAACAAGCACCTCGGTCTGTTTTCAAGTGCGTAGCCGTTGTTTAGTAAACGTACGTGTCTGGACGTTTGGCAGAGAAGCAAGCTTTCCTTCCGCCTGCGCTGTTTTGGTAAAGGTACAAGCAACCTCTGTGGAAACAGCCTGTGGGTTCCATGATGTAGTGCCCACTTCATCCCTGGTGCTGTTTCTTTCCTCTGAAATAGTAGGAACTGGCAGAGAAGGCAAATATTATTGGCATGGCACCCATCCCCGTAGGCCAAGCATTGTAAGGCGTGCCAGCAGCAAGGTGGAGCGCCCTGGAAGTGGACAGAACACCCAAAATGAGCGTATCGGGGTCCTGACGACTGGGGAGTGAGCCTGTGTCCCTCCATAAGCACCTTCCCCGTTATCTTTACGGCTGGCTCTTCACTTCCTTTCACTTCCACTCCTGGCCTCCAACCTAGATTGGGAAAGAGGAAGGTTTTTATCAGTGTGCTGAGAAAGGACAGAGGAACACAGGCTAACTCAGTCAGCACGGGGAGCTGAGTGCATTTCCCCGGAGGCAGAGTGAGTGTGGGCTGTGGATGCCCACATCACTGCGGGGCTCCCGTCACCACAGCCCAGTCTCCCCACGCCGCAGGCCTGGCTGGGACGCAGCTGGCGCTCTTCTGCAAGGCGTCCTGGGTTTCATTTGTATCAGAAAGACTTATGTTGCTTCACTGATTTGTTGCAAAAAAAACAAACCCGAATGAGTTTGTATTTCAGTTTTAAAAAGTTCTGTGAACAATGTTCAAAAGCCAAATAAGTACCCAGTAAAATTCTCACTGCTGCCAGCCGCCCACAGGACCTGCAGCCCACCTCACTTTATTATTATTTTATTTACTTATTTTTTATTTTTTTTTATTTCTATAGCCCACCTCACTTTCACCGCCTGAGATGTATGTGTTCTCTGTTTGGTCTCTCTCAGAACCTTCCATTTTGGTTATTACACCAGCTCTTTTCATTGTTTTGCTTATTGGTTTATGATTTTTCCCCCTGTCAGTTTGTGCCATTGCTTAGTTGATCTTGGAACCAAAGAATCTGGGAAAAAATTCAAGTCTTTTGAATGTGGGTTTTCCCAGTCCTGAAGTTTCCTAGATTTGAGTATTCAGATATAAGTGGCAATCTGGTCCGCTCATTAATGGGCTTGTGTGCATGTGGTATTTATATGTGGAGATGGAAATATGTGTAAAATTATATGCCTTCCTAAATTGTGGTGGGCTGTTTCTCTGTTTTCCATGTCTATCACGGAAAAGGACAGGTTCCTGAGTGGAGGAGCTGGGGATTAAGAAATTAGAGAAAGAAAGAGACATGGAGGCAGAAATAGATTCATCAAGCTGGATGTTAGGTGGGCGCCATCTCTCTTATGGAGAGGCAGCAAAAGGCGACCCCCAAAGCCATGCAGGTTTATTTATAGGAGCTTATTTGCATTCTTAATTAGGCTCTAGCATTACTGGATTTACATATCTAGACCTGCCCTGGTTACACCTGGACAAAGGTACTCTGCCAGTGCCTTGGGCTCAGCTAACAATTTAAAGAATGTCCATGTGCCTTCTCAGGTGGCCCTCTACACTATATGATTTTATTCATCTACCTATAATTAAAATATTTTAAAAAAAATGATTTTTCCTTTCTTCCCTTAAAGGGAACAAATCATTTGTTGATTCTCCCCACTCCCACCCAGAGGTCAATATGTATCATCATTGTTACCATGTGAAGTAGAGTTTTTTAAAAAATAGTTTGATTTTTAGAGAGTAAGGGAGATGGAGAGAAACATCAATGTGAGAGCACAACCTCGAATGGCTCCCTCCTGCACACCCCCTAACAGGGATGGAACCCACAACCCTGGCATGTGCCCTGACCAGGAATCTAACCAGCTACCTTTTGATGTGTGGGATTGATGCTCAATCAACTGAGCCTCACTGGCCAGGGTGTGAAGTTGATTTTTGAAGATTTACCTGAAATCATGTGGCAACCTATTAGATTTGAAGACTTGGAATAGGTCTCCAGATCCAACTATTTGTTTAGCTATTTTCTCTCCTCGATAGTTGGATTGAAATTAAAAGGCAGAGTAGTTCCCCCTCCCACAGAAACTGCCAGAAAGGACTATGTTCTCCATTACTTGTTCCTCATTATCTCTTAGTGTTCTGAGAATGCCAATCATTTAAATACAATTTGGGGGCAATATATACATTCACTATTTCCTGTACAATATTTTTTTAGCCATTGAAATAATATTAGCTCCTGGAAAAAATATAATTTAAAGAACTGCTTCTTGTCTGTGGGAAAGTTACCTGTCCAGCACTGTTTCGCAGGAACCCTGATAAGTCAGCACGACCCAATGGTAACCTGCCTCTGGATTGGATGAGCATGGCTGGACCATAAACCCCAACTGGAAGCCATAGCTTTGGGTTTCCCCAGGTGTAGGGGGAGGGTTTGGTGCTGGGTGTACCCCTCTTTGAGGAGAGCCCTGGAAGCTGTGTGTGGGGGGGTACTTAAGTCCGAGCCAGTGTGGGGCCTACACTACCTGTGTGCCCTTGCCACCTAACGCATACCTGCCCAGGGGGGCTGCAGAAAGGGTCTGTGGCTGCCTCCATTGAAGAGATTAGCTGAAGGCCATCCTTCATCCTACTGTGGGCCAGAGCCTGGCCTGCCGAGTCCCCGCTGAACCCAACAGCACTGCTGCTGGTTGAGCAGAATGGGCAGTGAATTGCCATAAATATTTAATATGAAAAGTAAAATAATAATAGCAACAATAACTATTCTTTCTTTATATTTCAGAAATGTGTTACAGATGAGTGTTTCTTTTTTGAACGGTTGGAATCCAATAACTACAACACTTACCGGTCAAGGAAGTACTCCAGTTGGTATGTGGCACTGAAGCGGACCGGGCAGTACAAACTTGGATCCAAAACAGGACCTGGCCAGAAAGCCATCCTTTTTCTTCCAATGTCTGCGAAGAGCTGATCTTAAGGGCACCATCTGATCTCACTTCACATGAAGGGAAGAGGTTTATTTTAGAACTTGTTAATGAGAGGAAAAGAAATTGTGTGCAGCCATCTGCTCAGTTTGGATAACTGGTCAGATAACCTTTGATCTAACAGTAAAATATTTAACCATTGCCTTAGTAAAGAAAAACAAGAATTCCTGGAAAATGTATAAATTTCCACCTTTTATATAGCATTTGCCTTTATCCAGTGATGCTTACTTAGAGCTACAATCTTTCCATACATTCACCCCATTCGAAAAGAGGCTTTAAAAATGTGTGCATTTGCAAATTTCTTCACGGAAACCATCCACATTGGAAAATTAAAGCCAGAGATTTAGTGAACCCAAAATGTGCACCATTCTTAGAACATGGCACCCATTGATTTACGTGTACAATTTACTAAAGATTTTTACATGTGTAAATACGATTTAATGCACTCCCGTCATCGTTTTGTAACTGTCCGGCAGTTCCCTGTGGTAGAGTTTGTAGAACAAGCCCGTGTACACAGCTGGGAACTGCTCCATGGTCAGGTCAATCTTCTCGAAGCCTTCCCGGTGCCCGTACAGCAGCAGCCGCGCGGCCCTGCTGGTGACGGGCGTGGTGTTGGTGGCCGTGGCCAGCTCGGCGAGGTCCATCCACTCGCACCGCAGGCACTCGTGCGGGCACAGCGTGATGGAGAAGGAACGGGGCTTCAGACGGCAGATGATGTACATGTCCGACTTCCCGAAAGCCCCGGGGTGGCTGTGCTGCTGCCGGATGCTCAGGAGGGACCTGAATTCCGATCGTATGCCGGTTTCTTCAAAAACTTCTCGAACTGCTGTGTCTCCTGCGTGAACAAAAGATGTACAAATCAGTGACTATCACATTTTCAGAAGGGGTAACTTTATCCAAAGGATTTTCAGTTGGAGTAACTTTGTCTAAAGGTTCAGAAGCAAAACTTCAAGAAAATGAAGTTTTCAATATAAACTCTGACACCCTGGAATACCAAAGTATTTTCTTACCACTGTACACCCGAGAAGCTTTCAAAAATAGTGAATATTTCTTTGGCTGCTACTGTGGGGGCCTATCCATCTGATGTTTTTGGGGTCACATATTTTTAACCTCTTCCTGCTCTATTTCTCAAAAGATGAAAACATAGGTTGCTAAGCTGCGGTTGCTGTTCCCACATGTTTCTTCGTTGTTCCTGATCATTTACCGATGTTGGTGTGGTGGGGCTGCGGGGTGTGGAGACTGGGAAGGAACTGGGACCTCTCCTGGTGATCTGGGGCAGGTATGGAAGACGGTCAGGCCTCCGAATCTCAGAGAAGATGCCTTTGCAGTCTTTTTGTTGTTCTCGCTAATTATCCGGAGAATCCCAATTGGGATTTGGGGCAGTTCCTTTGTTTCCTGAGATTCCAAAGAATTTAGACTCTTTCCTCCAACACCTAGATCTGCAGCCACTCCATCAGAGGTCTTAAATAACTCGCAGTACTTTATAATAAAACAGGGCTTTCACATTTCAGAAGGGTGACTTTCTGATAACATACACATTTATGGGGCAGGATTTTCACTGCCATTAACATATGCTGCTGGCTGCTTTTTCTAACTACTCAGATGATCCCCTCACGGCTTCCTTTAACTCTGTGATGCTGTCATTATCTCCCAAAGGGGCACTAGAAGCCCTGAAGATAGCTGCCTTCCTCACCCAGTTTGCTGGGAATAGAGTTGCATAGATTTTTGTTCAAATGCTCTTTAGTGCCCGCCTTTTCTTGTTTGTCAAACAGTAAATTACATTTGCCTTGTTAGTAGTCTTGCTAGTCTTACTGGTGAAGAGCAGCAAGGAAGAGGAAGGCAAGGAGACGGTCTCCAGTTCTATGTGCTCTGCAATGGACCGTCTTCCCAGTTTCCTGGGTAGCCCGGACGCTCCCTGAGAAATGGCTCTGCAGGTGTGTGCAGGAGGAGCAAGGTGCTCTGAAATGTAAGCCACCTGCCATTTTTTAATTACATGCCAACTCCCCTTAGAACTGAGATTTGCCACAGGTTGCACAGGGTTAGAAATTATATTTTTAAATTAAAAACATAAAAGAATTTATGCTAAAAAGGGAAAAAATTCCTTCTAAGAAAAATAATCTTCAGTCTGACATAGAATCCATACTTGTTATTGAATCTATTAAAGACTGTGGCACTAGTGTCTCACTTAACTATAGTCTTTAATCTATTAAAGACTGAGGCTGGTCTCACTTAACTATTGGTTAAGTGTTCTTTAAACACTTTGAAAACTAACCATAGGGGTCCTGTCTAGTGCTCAGCATCACTAGTAAAGACCTGGGCCTTTAGTTCCCATCTAGCCTGTTTCCATGTCACGGATCACAGACAGGGACAGTCGGGAGTCAGCCCTGTTCAGCAGTCACTGGGGCAGTGGACCCCAACGCAGCACTGCCTGGAGAGTCTGATCAGTTTAACTTGAATCAGCAGAGCAGTGGCTAGACAAAAACTGAATGGCAAGTAAGTGCTTTTGTGTCCAGGGTATGAGAGAGCCCTTCTGCCCCTAGATGGAAATCTCTTCTCCAAAGATTTTGCCATAAATCTGAATTTTTTATTTGGATAAAGTGCTTTTCTCTGTTGTACCTTTGTTATTTTAATGTACTGTAAGCTAAACTGAAATACCATTTTCTGTGTTTTAAGTTTGAAGAACATAGGAAAAACCAAGAGGGTTGTTTCTATTTTTGCTGATTGAGAGATAGCTTTAAATACGTCATAGCATTTTGTTTATAGAACAATAGTGAGATGGAGTTTATATTTGTTATTTCTATTTTGTGATATTTAATGACAGGATTAGATTGAAATAAAATAAAATCATAGAAAAATTTGTGCAGAATGTGGGCTTTCCTGGTGTTTCACTCTGACTCTGGGGCACCGATGAACTTGGACCAGTGGCTGATACAGTCCTCAGGCCATGCAGGGGGTTGTCCCTGGCAGGGGTAATGGTTTTTTTTTTTTTGGAAGGCAACTCCTCCATTTTTAATCTTTGTACTCCTAGGGTAGAATATTAAAGCCTGAGGATTGCATTCCAATTTGTATATGCTCTTCTTAATTCTTTTTAGACACTACAGACAATAGTGCTTCATTTACCTAGTATCAGAGAATGAAGGATTGCAAACAGGTGTGTTTCCCAGTTAACCAGTGTTTACTACTTATGAGCCAGGATGAATGCTTGTACATTGGTGATGGCAGTATTCCTAAAATAGATTATATTCCTAAATATAGATTTTAGAAAAAGCGAATAATTCTTGGATGATTTGGCTTCATCATTAAAAATATTTATTATTGTATTGTATTACAGAACAGAATGCCCTTGGATAGTCATAGTCATTTAGGACTCGACTGTCAGTTACCATTTCCAGCTGCTTTCAGGGTTTTATTAATCTAAGGCTAAGCTTTAATTTATACTAGAAAGTATGGTGAATGCCAACTGCTGCTTTTTTCTTCATTCCACATGACTGAGGTATATCTATGATCTCTGGGTAGGTGGGTTGTTGTTCAACCACAAATACTTAAAAAGTAGTGAATTCTTCACAACTGGATTTGAAGGGTTCTGGAGTACACTTAAACATAACTATTTGTCTTGGAAATGTGTTTCTTCATGTACATTTAAATATGTCTATCTGAAATTCTGAAGATCCATAAATTGACCTCCAGTTCATTGGTGAGGAAGCTACACAAACCTGCAGATGGATTCCTGCCTGGTATGGGTTGGATGAGGATGTAACATAAGCTTAACTAATCCACAAGCTCTTATACATCACATAAGGAAAGTGGAAGATAATTAGGTGTTTGAGGATAGGTGGCTTTCCCTCCCAGCACTCATACCGCTACCAAATTCTCTTTTATTTCCACAGAAGACCCAACAGAATCTGGGTCATTAAGTACCTAAAATGCTATGAATTCATTTGAATACAGTAAATATACTTACTGGTTGTTAAGAGTTGGCTATATACTATGCATAGTGCATTTTAATCTGTGTAACATTTTTAGAAATTAAGTTTCAGGAATATATACATTTTTATATAAAACATCCAAGGATAATTTAGAAAATTGTGTTCACATAAATGTTGGCTAAAGAGAACAGGGACATGCAATATTGAGGGAAAAGTTGTAGAGAAATAATACTGGTATCCAAATGAGTCATCTATTGATTTATTATGACAGGGGCTATATCTGACCAGTGGGATAAGGAATAGGTAGGAAAACTCAGTTTCTCGTCTTTCATCTATTTCCTATAAAATCAGTGACACTGAGAATTCTTAGCTTTTTTCACATTGCCCTGTTTTCCATATTAAGCTCAGGAACTTGTTCTAAGGAGTTATGTGTTTCATGTGAGATCTTCTCATATGAGATATTTCACTATGCTTTGCTTCTGACTAGTTACAATAATTAGTAGATAATTTTTTCAAAAATAGAAGAATTAAATCACTATGGCTCTATAACTGACTTTATAAATAATACTTGTTTCAAAGTTCATGTAAAAGTTACTATTCATCTTTGTGTGATGACACAGTTAAGAATTTGTGTTTTCTCATGGTTTAATTCCAACAATTTTAGTCATATCCCAAATAGGCCTCAATACTAAACTTTACTGATGCATATCCACAGCTTCTCACTTTCAAACAAGTCACTCTAGAAGCAGCCCTAAAGGGAAAAGCAGGTGTATCCTCCTGCTTTAATGGAGCAAGTTCTAATGTTACATGTTTTGCTGCTAATTTTATATCAGCCCTGAAATTTTATATCAGCCCTCTCTGAAATTTTCTTAGTCTAAACTAGTTAGAAAATTTAAAATCTTATTCTTAAATATAGCAAAAAAAAAAAAAAAAATTTAAACATGAATTTCCTTAACATTTCCAGGCCGATTGAAAAGATGTAAGATACACACCGATATCTTCCCCAGGCTCCGAAAGGCCTCCCGGGAACTTCCACATGTTTTTCAACTGCAGCATAAAGTCAGAAAATAAAGTCAGCACAGCTTCTACTCACTCACACACATATATGGTGACCCACAATCGTCACCCATATTGGTCAAGGTAGTTGAGGATTTATTTTTTAGTAATTGCATGTAAATTTTTTCCAGTTTCCTTCCTCATTACTCTTTTCCTTCTTTTGGGGGGAACTGGTAACTTATGAATTCTTTTCCCACTGTTTTTTTTTGGGGGGGAAGGTGGGGGAGGAAATAGAAGTGGTTTTGTTTGTTTAATGTGATAAATTCTGAATGAATAAGACAGTGAAAGGAACACATCTACTGAATTGGTGTATTTTAAAAAAATTTGCTGCTAGTTAACTATTAATAGAGGATTTTTACAGATGCTGCTATAAATAAGTAGAAAATACAGTAAAAATGTAATCACTGAAGTATACTACTTTTAATTTCACATTTATTTTCTGTACTGTGTGTCTAATCAGATATATTAGCCTTATGGTTTTTCTTGCTCTATGTGTTAATGATTTCATTGGTAGTGTGAATAAAACTGATTAAGTTTGTGGGGTTTTTTGTGCACCTTTTTTGGGGTGGGGAGAGACAGGTGGGAAGATCCAATCTTGGAATAGAGATAAACATGGGGAAAATGGATTAAAAATAATTCTGAAAAGGCACGGGACAATATGCTTATGGCTGACATATTTCTTCCCGTTAGAGGTCTGTTGTCCCTACCCAATCACCGTGATCAAAGCTGGAGAATGAGAAATTAGGACACACTCATAACGGCACTACAGCGTGGAGCCAGGCACCTTCTACTCTTCATTCATAAAACAAGTTCATGGACCTTTTTCTGGTGTGTTTTGCGGCCCTCTCATTTCCTGGACGGGTGCTTCTTAACGTGTGTCATTTCCCAACTATGCTTGGTTGGAGAGCAGTGGCATGGTTCCCGGTTTCCACAGACTGCTGATTATGTGGGTCCAGAATCCAGGCTTTCCACCCTTCTGTGTCTGGCTCAGACTTGAGGTTCATTTATAACTCGTATTATGTTTTATTTTATTAATGTAGGAAGATATCGCTAAGAATGTCTATATTAATGCGCTGTCTTTGGGGAGTTCCATTCTGAAATGATTCCAAAAGCTATGTTTATATGAAACCGCTGCAATCTTTTTCCCAATAGAATACTGGACTTCACCACCATAAATTTATTTCTATCAGATATAAATGCTTCTTTAAACAATAAAAGCTAACTTTTTTTAAAAAAACTTAGACTTGATGACAATAATTGGAGATTGATTCTTGATTACATTTGGAGATACGAACTTATTCAAAGGGGGGGAACATGCTAGATAGAAAGACTGAAAACATCTCATACAAATTTGATTTCCTTTAGCTATCGAAAAATTAAATCTATTTTTATGCTGGTGAGTAGTGTTTTATATTTTCTGGCACCATTTAGCTTTAAGAGCTTGTTTGAAAAAAAACTCCATCTCCAAGAAAGCTTCAGCCTGCAGTTAGTCTAAGTGGGAGGTAGAGAGGCCCTTGTTAGGTGGTTTGAAAACCTGGTTAATGTAGCTCTGACCTATGGAAAGATGAGTATATCTTCTTTTTTAATATCAAAGAATACTCCCCATTAACTGGGTTGAGCAACATAATAATAATAACATCAACAACAAATACTAGGTAATATATATTACCTACATGTTTTTATAATAATTATACACATTTAGCCCTGGCCAGGCAGCTCAGTTTGTTAGTTTCATCCTGATACATCAAGGTTTCAGGTTCGATCTCCAGCTGGGGCACATACAAGAATCAACCAACGAATGCATAAATAAGCGGAACAAAAGACTGATGTTCCTCTCTCCCTCCCCCTCTCTTAAAAATCAATTTAAAAAAAAAAGAATTACACACATTGAAACTTTACAGTAATCTATGAAGGACTATCCCCATTTTGAAAGTGATGAAACTGAGGGCATAAAAAGACTTAATAACTTGCCTGAGGTGACACAGCTAATGTGTAGTAAACTTGGTTAAAATCCAGGCCTTCTGATTCTATCCATCTTTCAATAAATTTTAAAAGTTGTTTAGCTATTTTTCCACTAATCCTTAACTACTATTAATATTTTCTGCCTTTTTATATAACTTTTGCTCTTCAGACCTCACTGGAACATTCTATGTAATCGGACCAGAATTTGTATCTGAGACTTCCACCACTTCAAGGCTTGTGAATTTGAACTGTGATCTCCTGGTTCATATGTTGAAGCTCAGCCACTACCAGCCAGCAGAGCCACTGTAATTAGACAATAAATTAGCTATTGTATTATCCTTACCAATGAGATAGAAGCTGCCATAGAGATCTCTTAGTAAGCTTGCTTATTGAACAAAAATTTATCGAGTGCTAGTGAGCTGGGTATACAGAAATTAATGCACCATGTAGCAAGCCCATTCGCTTTCTCCCCATACCACTGTATTTTTCTTAACACCACTGCCTTATATATTATTTATTCTCTTGTTGATTATTTTTATCTTACCCATTTGTATATAAGCTCCAGATGTAGGAACTTTGCTTTGAGTTTAGAACAGAGCTGACGATGTAGTCATTACAGGAACTCGGGAATGCCAGTGAGTAAGTGAACAGGTCCCTGCCCTGGTCTTGGCTTTTTTAGCACCCAGTTTACAGAGAGAGCCACTCTTAGGTTTTTTATTTCTCAAAATCATGGGGCGGGTGAAGTATTGGACTATATGGATAGGGAAGGAGGATAGATACATTTTAAGTATCATTTTAGCTTTGTGTCTGTTTGTGGTGAGGATTTAACTTTGCAAGTATGCCTTGACAGCAATGCCTGGGCAGAGGGAGGCACTAAAGGAGAACTGTCTCAGATGTCAGAAAGAATACTAATTAGTTGTTTATGGTTAATGGTTGGTATTAATGCTTAAATTCCACCTAACAACAATATAATTGCAGAAATTAAATATGGTTTAATGTCACACTTTATATATATTTTTTATTACAACACTAAACTATACATGAAAACTCAGTTTTCATCTTTTGTTGCTCTCAGATGGATCACTACTTATTTTTCAATTTTATAAAAAATAAAATTGAAGCCCTAGCTGGTTTGGCTCTGTGGTTAAAGTGTTGGCCCTCCGACTGAAAAGTCTCAAGTTTGATTCTGTTGGTTGCAGGCTCAATCCTGGCCCTGGTTAGGATGCGTGCAGGAGGCAACCAATCTGTCTCTCTCACATCGATTTTTCTCTCTGTCTGTCTCTCCCCCTCCTTTCTATTTTCACTTAAAAAAAAAAAAAAAAAAACACAAAAAAAGACAAAACAAAAAACAATAGGAAAAATATATCCTTGGGGGAGGATTATCAAAACCAACAAAATTGAAGCTCTAAATAGTAGTATCATTTCTCCTAAACGCATACAGAATCCAAAGTCTTATGTAATCTGAATTTGTCTCCAGCCTCTGCCAGTCCCAGCTGCCCAGAAGCAAAGTAGGAACATGAAAAGCAGTGCTTTCTCATTCTTAGAGGACTGGCAGGTTTGCAAGTCAGCAAATTAAGAGTCGGAGCTCAAAGGGCTAGTGTAGCAGTTCTCAAACTTGACCATGTACCGAGTCACTTAAGTTTGTGCACAACGGCTGAGCAGCATTCCCAGCGTTTCTGATTCAGGAGGTTGGTGGGGGCTTAGGAACGTGAATTTCTAATAAGTGGATGCTGTGATTGTCTCTCAGCTCCAAACCCACTCTCTGTGCTCTGCCTAATGATGCTGAAGCTGGGACCCTGCTAACCATTCCTGCTTTGCCAGGGGATCTCCCCTTTAGGTTCCATCAACAGACTTGTAAGGCAAGGGGAGGAAGGATGGGCTTTCTGAGGTCCAGGTACAAAATACTTTACGTACTCAATAAATTTCTGTTGATAAAGCTTAGTTTAAGTCAGAGGATCTGCCTTTACTAAAACTTCGAAAGTTACTTATAATTATGAGAATGCTTTGAGATCAAATTTCTCAGAAATGTGTGATACTTTCAGATCTCATTGCCAATAGTTGTTTAAAATTTAAAAACATATATGCTGGAGGAAATGTTTGACTCTGTCCGCTGTTATTTACTGAAGTCTCAGAAAGCATTAAAAATAATGACTCTCTTTCACTTTTATTCTCCTGAGGGAGCATGAAAACATTTGTTTCTTAAAAACCTTTGTTGGTTTTAGTTAAATAGACTTTTTATTTTTGGGTACAAAGCTTTTTACATTCTGTTCCCAATCTAGCTCTCAGGTCACATATTTTTCCACTGCCTACACTCCTGGCCACAGTGAAGCTTTTGCTATTTTTTCCACAGTGTGCAATGGACTGAATGCTTATGTCCTCCCACCCCCACCCAATTCATATGTTGAATCCTAATTCCCAATGTGATGATGGTATTAGAAGGGGAGTCTCTGAGAGATGACTGTGTCATAAGAGTGAAGCCCTCGTAAATGGACGTAGTGTTCTTATTACAGAGATCCCGGAGAGTCTCATGTCCCTTCTGCCATGTGAGGACACAGTGAGAAGACAAACATCTATGGACCAGGAGGTAGGACCTCACCAGACACCAACTCTGCTGGCGCCTTGATCTTGGCCTCCCAACATCCATAACTATCCTAATATGCAAATTGACCATATAGTGGAAAGACTGGTCACTATGACATGCACTGACCACCAGGGGGCAGACGCTCAATGCAGGAGCTGCCCCCTGGTGGTCAGTGCACTCCCACAGGGGCAGTGCCACTCAGCTAGGCTCATGGCTGTTGAGTGCAGTGGCCCTGGCAGGAGCTTCTCCTGCTTCTGAGGCAGCGCTAAGGATGTCAGACTACTGGCTTAGGAGGGCAGTGGGCTTAAGCCAGCAACTGGACATCCCCCGAGGGCTCCTGGACTGAGAGAGGGCACAGGCTGAGCTGAGAGACCGTCGCCCCACTGAGTGCACAAATTTCATGTACCAGGCCTCTAACGAGAAATAATGTTTGCTGTTTAAGTCATCCAGCCTATGGTATTTTTGTTATAGTGGCTAACCGGACTAAAACATCAAGTCAGCTCCTTTCCAAACTCTGCCCTTATGTATGCAATTCTAATTATCTCAATCTGTTTTTCTACCTTTTCTTCCTGGTAAGCTCCTATTCATTCTTCAAGATACAACTTAAATATCACCTCTTCTGATAAATCTTTAGGGACTTTTTAAAGGCAAAGTAAATTGTTACCATGTGTTGTATGACTGCTTTCCTAAATAGATAGTGAGATGCAGGACATCAGGGGTATTGTCTTACTGATCTTTGTATGCTCAGCACCTGGCTTGGAGTAGGAGCTTAATGAATGTTGGATGAATGGAAGAAATGTCTTGATAGTCTGTTAGAAAGAGAATTATCTTCCCAATTAAATACAGCCATTTATAATTTTCCAGTAGCCATAAAATTATAGTGAGCTATAGTGAGGTTACCCCAACTTTTCAAGGCCTGCATAAGCATTTATGGATTAAATGAATAGCCAAATGATCCATAACTGCTTAGGAATAACTTTTAAAAAAAATAAATTTTATTGATTTTGTACAGAGAGAAAGGGAGAGAGATAGAGAGTTAGAAACATCGATGAGTCATCGATCAGCTGCCTCTTGCATACCCCCACTGGGGATATGCCCGCAACCAAGGTACATGTCCTTGACCGGAATTGAACCTGGGACCCTTCAGTCCCCAAGCTGACGCTCTATCCATTGAGCCAAACCGGTTTCGGCTGCTTACGAATAACTTTTAAAATATCTGTAATTCCTTGAGCATATAAAAATTTCTACATTTTATTTTTCTCTAGTGAGAACTGAACATTTAGAAAGCAATTTATAAACAGAAGCAACTTACTTTATTTCGATCTTGGACAACCAATATTTTTCTAGTACTTTCATCAAATACAGCTCCTATTGGAGGGAAAAATAAAAAATAATTGATAAATATTAATTTCATCCATCTTAGACTCCTCCCACATTCTTTTTTTAAAAAATATATTTTACTGATTTTTTACAGAGAGGAAGAGAGAGGGACAGAGAGCTAGAATCATCAATGAGAATCATCAATCAGCTGCCTCTTGCACATCCCCTACTGGGGATGTGCCCGCAACCAAGGTACATGCCCTTGACCGGAATCGAACCTGGGACCTTTCAGTCCGCAGGCTGACGCTCTATCCACTGAGCCAAATTGGTTTCGGCTCCTCCCACATTCTTATGTGTGGCCATTAAAACCCTGCCCATCCTAAAGACCTAATTCAATTCCACCTCACCCATGAAGATGTACTTTCTCCACAGAAGCTATGCTGCCCAGTAGGATAATCATCTGCAGAGCTTCTCCACATTGTCTATTGCTGAGGGTACACAGTTAAATAAATTAATATTTCTATCCTTTTATAGTATTAATTTAGTGTCCAAAAAATTTTAAGTGCTTATAAATATTTATGGAATGAGTTGACTTTCCATTCTCATTTTTATTCCTCACATTACTATGTATAGAACATGGGTTGTGGCCCCCGATGATCCAAATCTTAAACATGTCGATATTCAGTTCAAGACCTTCCTGAAGCTGCCTAAATTTGTTTACCATGTATGTACACAGCTTATAACATATCAATATATTGCTTTGGAACACTTGTTTGTTTTATATATGTTTAAATTCTAGTCCATTCCTTTTATCTATTCATTCATCATACTCATTGCCCAGCATACTAAGTATTTGACTAGGTGTTAGGACTAAAAAATATTTTTTTTCTTTCTCTCTTTGGGCCATCCTGGGTCTTTTATACTTTAATGATTTATATTAGGTTCCTATAAATTCTGTAATTTAAAAATATTTGTATTTACATAATGTGAGAGGATATTACTAAAAAGATATTTTCTATATTTCCATTCATTCTTTCAATATTAATTGAGTTTCTATATATATTACATATAGGATCTATATATAGTATATGAATTGAGCTCCAATTATGTGTCAGGTACTTTTCTGAGTGATAGGGATATAGTAGTGAACAAAACAAAATTCCCTATCCTCAATGGGGTTCACAAGTTGTGTATATGTATTTGTATATGTGTGTGTAAGAGGAGATGGCAAACAAAAAGTCAATTATATAGAACATGAGAAAGTGTCACATGCGATCTGGAGATAAAATATGGAAGGGAGTAGGTATGTGGAACACAGGAAAAGAAATTTTCTCTGAAATGAAAACACATTTTAGTATTTTTAAGCAATAAGGAAAACCACTAAGTGAGATTAATTAATATTAATGTTTGCTTCTATTAGAAAACGCAAACTATAATTTAATTGGACTTTACAAAGGATAGAATGCCAAAGGAAGACCAAGGAATTCTACTCTTAAATTTTAATAATTTGTGATTACTCAAATTGAACTTTTCCCTAATGAATTCACTGTAAACATGAGCAAAATATTCCAAAGACAAACTGAGCAAGACCAAAGCAGTGAGCGACCCCAGCTGATCACAATACAAAAGTTAAATCTATAGAGAGCAGAGATTAAACAGAGGTTATTTAGTATATTATTGTCATTAGTCAGGACCTGTGCCAAGTGCTTTCTGTGCATTACCTCAGGTATTCCTCGCATGAGTGGCATCATTCTGACTGTCCACGTTCAGGCTGCTCTAAGACTGACCTCCAGTGGGCCTGGTTTGCAGCAGTCATTGTCATGGCAACACAGCCCCTTCACCACACTATAGCTGTGTTCTCAGAGGGTTTCCATCTAAATATTCAAACACTTGTTCCAGAAATAGTTATTGTGCACTGACTTTATATCAGACACTGTCTTTAACCTGAGGAGACAGTGGTGAACAAGAGACAAAATATCTGCCTTCATAGGGTTTACTGTGGGGAAAACTAAGTAAATGAAATAAGATAATTGTGGATTTCGATCAGTCCTATAAAGGAAAACAGCTAGATAAAGGGACAAAGGATGATGGGACTGACCTATGGGAGGACTCTGTGAGACAGAAAGGCCAGGAGTTGTCTGAGGAGGTATTTGAGTAGGAGCCCTAAGGAAGAGCATTCAGGAAGAGAGGCCAATGGGTTTGAAGGCTCTGAGGGGATGAAAGAATTTTCCTCCATCCACTTAGGTTCTAGCTCTGGGGACTTTGAATGGAATTGACAGAAAACAGATTAATGGAGAAAAATATGCATTTTATTTGATGTTAATATTTTTATGTGGCATGGAGTAGGGTGGAGCACTTCATAGAAAGAAAATTCCCAGAAAAGTAGTTACCATTTTAACAAAGAGCGATAAATTATGGGTTTGGACTAGGGGAGGTAAATTATGGGAAAGGGGCTAGAAAGCATCTGGGGAAAACTAATAGAATACAAAGATCAAGTCAGTGTGTTTGTCCAGACTCCTCTCATGTCAACTCCCACTTCCGGTGGTAAGAATGCTCTCCTCCTCCTGATACAAGAAACGTATACTCTACTTTTAGGTAGAATGGCGGCACAGAACTCTTCCTACATCTGCTGTTTCTCCATTGTCTTCAACTGAAAATACTAAAAGTACGGCCCAAAGTGGCATATTCTAGGTCCTAATCCCCTCTACCAGCCACAGCCACTTTTGCTGCTTATAGCAACAAATACCAACTATTTTCTCTTCACCTAAAAACTCTATACTTTTCCAGACCATATTCTTATATTATCTCATCCCCATCCCCAATAGCCACTTCAAACCCTACTTGTTCAAGATTTTTGTCAGATTCCAGAATCTCATTCCCCGAATTCCTGTGGTAGATCTTAACTCCAATATAAAATATAGTATGTAGATAGAAACAAGTCCTTCGTAGAACACTCTTTATGCACACAGTACCAATTCTGTAATAGTAAGTGGAAACTATTAGTCTGTACCAATGAATGGACAATCACTTGTGTGACTTCCTAATGAAGTGTGAGGCTATCATCAAATTTTTCAAATAGTCTTGTGAAGCAGACCCCAATGGAAAGTTTCTGAGTGCCTGTGCTCGAGACCATGAACAGAGAAAACATTGGATAGCCTTGAATAATTCCTTTAAATGATTTCAAAAGTACAAGCTATCTTTAAAACCTCTTGTAAATTATATGAAGACAAATAAAATTATTATTGATTATATTACTAATTAATGTGTATTACTGCTTTCATTTATTTTAGGTCATGAGGATTCTTTGCTATTTTAGTTTTTCCAGAAATCTAGGAATGTTCTTAACCCTGACTCTCAAAGAGAATAGCAGCAGCAGCAGCAGAAAACTTATTAGAGAAGCAAATTTTCAGGCCCCACCTGAGATCTTCTTAAAAAAATTATTGGTAGTCATTCCCAGCATGTTTTACAAGTTTTCTAGATAATTATTCTGAACACCACAATTTGAGAATCCGTCTTAACCTAAATCAAGATTTTTTTCAAGACTATTTTTTTCAAGATTTTTTTCAAGACTATCAGTCGCTGTCCATAGCAGGTTTGGTTCAATGGATAAGTGCTGGCCTGTGGGCCAAAGGGTCCTGGGACAACCTACTGATGTTTTTCTCTATCTCCCCATCCCTTCAGTTCTCTCTCTCAAAATAAATAAATAAATAAATAAATAAATAAATAAATAAATAAATAAAATAAAATAATAATAAAGTCTGTTTCTGAAGCTAATCCGTAACTTTGAAATTCTAGAATATATTTAAATTATGTTATTTTAAGCAACTGGCACAATAACTAAGTGTAAATATCTTTAAGAAGTAATGTTCAAACCATTAAAAAGCTGATTTGCTTTATCTTAAATTCAACCTCTGTTATCTTTTTATTCTACAAATTTACATAATTAGTACTAATACGTTTTACCATAATGAATTCATTCCCTGGTCCCCATTCAGTGTGCTATTTGAGTATTGAAGTTCACATGGGTGTGAAACACGTTCAAACACACCCTTTGGAAAACTAAATGCCGAACTAACTTGCTTATGCTCAGAGCTGCCACGTGCTGACCTCACAGGGCAGACTCCCTCTATTCACAGCACTAGCAATAGTCCCGGGGACCATCATCTCAACGACCTTTTCCAAGAGGATACACCATCGCCCAAGCTGTACGAAGTAAGAAACTGGGGGAACCTTTAAGAAGGTAATGCGGCCGATTCTGAGTTGAAAAGAAACTGACCCGCCACGCCCACTTGGTGTGTGGCATATCCCGGGAGTCTGCTGGGCCCCGGGCCCAGCCACAGGGCCAGCGTGGACGCGCCCGCCTCCGCGTGGTGGAAGCCGAAGCCCAGGGCGGCGGCCGCGGCGATGAAGCGGCTCTGCAGGATGGGCACGTGCAGCCAGACCGCCGCTCGGCCTTCCGCTCGCCACTGCTGCACTGCGGCTGGAACGAGGAGATACATGGCGTCAGTTATTCCAACCCACCCTGGGGGGTCACCTCCCTCAGGAAGCCATTTTAAGCAGCCACTTCCCTTTCTAGCTAGCTATGGGGGCGGGGATCCCAAAACGGCCCGGGAACTACCGTGTTTTGATATCACGGCGGCCTTGTCTATGTGACTCCCCACCAGAGCGAACTCCTTGTGAACAGGCAGGCAGTACCGCGATGACCTTTATATTCATATCACCAGAGACAATGCTGGGCACATAACTGATCAATAGTTGTAGAATGAATAACAATAACAAAAAATGACTTAAAATGCCATTTTTATGTTCCTTTTAACATCACGTTTTAATCTTTTTTCTTTTAGAATTACCTTTTTAAAAAAATATATTTTATTGATTTTTTTACAGAGAGGAAGGGAGAGAGAGAGCTAGAAACATTGATGAGAGAGAAACATCGACCAGCTGCCTCTTGCACACCCCCGACCGGGGATGTGCCCGCAACCAACCAACGTACTCGAACCTGGGACCTTTCAGTCTGCAGACCGATGCTCTACCACTGAGCCAAACCGGTTTCGGCAAAACTACCTTTTATTATTTCCAATTAATGCCGGGCCAGGGAACAACATGACAAACATTAAGAACAGTTTCCCCCCCATGGGTCCTTGGGCCTCTGAATTCTCAGCAGCAGGGCCTCAGGGGACCCATGTTGCCACAGAACTGGAAGGCCTCTCACAAATCTTAAAATCTTTATAAATGAGTATTATGGGCTTCTGTTTACTCTTGAAGAGTTTTATTGTCATTTAATTTTTTAATTTATAAATTTCAAGAAGATAAAGTAGAACCGTTTTTTAAATAAAGTATGCAAGTTCTAGGAAGTTCTATAGTCAGTGTGGCTAACCGAGTGACACACACAGGGTGCGTGTGATCCGCAGGTGGCTTTGTTTTTTTCTTTATAGGAAATGCTATTCAGTTTTGTTTCACTCAGTAACAGAACCAGCAGTAGCTCTAGGAAGCAGTTCAGTTCAATAAGAATAGATTTCAGAGCCCGGGGAAGTTAGAATCTCTCTGCGCCTCAGTACCATCACGGCTGTTATGAGGATTAAGTAAATTAATATTTGTAAAGTCCTTAAAAACAGTGTCTAGCACTTAAGTTAAATACAATAGAATTTATTTTAAAAATAAAAAGTATATGGTACTTCTGAGCCTATAAATAAGTTTCATATAATTTATCTTGGATCACCGTATCAATCCAGTGATTTGGGCTGGCATTATTCACACAAGCAACCTAAGGGGCAAATATTTTCCGTGGTGAAAGGCCCAAATGCCCGCAGAAACAAGTGGCAGGGCCTGGAACTCGAACCCTGGATGTGTGACTCCAAACCCAGCCTCCTTCCTGCTTTGCCTGCTGAGGGCACCTGAGCTTTACCTGTTCAGTCCCTGACAATTGACAAGCGTGTGCAGTAGGTACCTGTGTCTGCCCAACATTTGCACACCTTTTAGAGAATGAACATTGGCTCTTTTACGGGTGGCACTGCTGGAAAATGAGAAGTTTGGGAATAAAGATGGTTTAATTAAGAAATAGGAGCACTCGAGATCTTGCTCAACAGACAAGAGTCAGTTTGGCTCAAATAAACTCTTTTTTTGAGAAATTCTCAAAAAAACAAAAACCAAAAACCCAGCTCGCTTATATTCACATGGATCCTCACTATATTGCCTAACAGGGCAGAGTATTTGAAGCTCCGGTTAGTCTGAGGCTGTTCCCTGGTCTACCTCCAATCTGATAAGGAGCCTGGGGGGCGGTGGGGGGGAGCATTTTGAAAAACTGGCTGCCCACCAAATCAAGGCTTCTCTCAAAGCGAAGAAGGTTCCTCCTTCCCAACCTTTCCTTCTTATCACCGGGCTCAAGGTTAAGAGAAAGGGGAGTTTCCTCTCTGCAGACAAGCCACCCAGCCCTCTCTGATTAATAATCACAGAAGCTTTGTCCTCTGGGAAGCAAACTCTAGTTCCTGACCCCATGTGAATGCCAATCTGACCCCTGGGCACAGAACCTCTAGCCACTCGCTGTCCACCAAGCGAGGCAGAGTCCGGGCAAAGCGCCCGGCGGGACAGCGAACAGAAAAGAGATGACACCGACCAGACCCGCTGGTCGCTACCTGCTGGCGGCGCCCCGCTCAGCACGTCCAGCTCCGGATCCAACTGAACCCGCAGCGCCCCCGGGCGCAGCTGGTCACCGGTTTTACCCGAGAGGGAATGGAGGCTCACAGAACCTGCCCCAGGGGAAGGTCACACGCCGGAAGGCGGACCAGAAACTCGGGCTGTGGATCCCAGAGCCGGTGATCGTCACCATGTCCCCCCAAAAGCCTCAGAGACCTCCCAGCAAAGGGTCGGGGAACCAGGGAGGCGGGTGTGACCACGCGCGCCCTCCGGGCTCAGTACCCGACAGGCGGACACCCGTGTGGGTCTCGGTTACTTCGATGGGACCCCTCGGCCCAGGCACTTGCCATGCAGGCCCCTCTGGAAGGTGGCGGCGTCCAGGCTGTCCAGAGCGCCCAGGCGCACCGAGACGCCCCCGAACCTGTCCACTTCGCCCCGCAGCCAGCCGGCTTCGGCGGCGGGGGAGTCCCGCGCTCCGCTTAAGCCGCCCGAGGCCCTGCGGGGCGCGGCCCAGAGCTCCGCGCCCCGGGCCTGGGCCAGCACCGCGCGCAGGTGGCCCCCGCTCCGCAGAGGCAACATCCCCGTGCCGGCCCCGGCCCGCCGGACGCCACGCCCCCAAATGGCCCCGCCCACGCGCCGCGGGGAGGAGGCGCTACCTTAAACCTGAGAAGAGAGCCGCACGAGCTTTTCCGAGTGGAGCTGGGCTTACCGCTTTGCAGCGCTATCACCTAGGAGACCTCCAAGTCCTGTCCACCAGCTCCTCTCAGGAGTGTGCCCGGGATTCAGAAAAATGGGGAGAAACTTTCCCTCCGCTATTCCCCTTTCCGTAATAGCTTAATTCAACGCACCTATATTCAGGGGATGGGGAAGACGAATGGGTTACGAAAAAGTCCTGTCTTTCAGGAATGTGCCATCTAAAGAACGCTTCTATCCACCTGATCCGTTTTCCTTTACAGAAAAAACCTCTTCGATCCCTTCAAAGACCTCAGGTTCTGAAGACGGTTGATTTCCCCCACGCCTCTCCATGTGCGCATCCCTCGGGGAATTTCGGCTTGGGGGCGGAGCCTCGCTGACCTCTGCCCCGGAAGTTTTTCCCACAGTGAAGCGCGCACGTTGAGCCGGCTTCAGTGCTCCAACTTCCAGGCTGCCCGCGGATCATCATGTCTTCCAAGAAGAACAGAAAACGGTCCAACCGGAGCTCCGACCGGGGTTCGCCCTCGCCCTCCTCGGCTCGTTCTCCTGCGGGGGCCTCGGCTGCTTGTCCCGAAGCCAGCTTCGCGGCGGCGACCGGGACTCTGGCGGTGATAAACTTCCTCGAGAAGGGTGAGAGCTGCGAGGAGGGCGGCGGGAGGCGCAGGGGGCGCCACCTGAGTGAGGGGCTGGAGGCCGGGCGGTGGGCCTGGAGGCGCGGCGCTGTGAAGGGCGGGCGAGGCCGGGCTGTGAGGGGCTCGGGGCCATGCGCGCCTCGGGCGAGGCGCCAGTGCCCTCTCCGTGATTGACTCACGGTCCCTTTTTTGTCGCCTTGAGTCGCCAAGTTGCACTTGGGACAACTTTGCCTCCTGTAAAGATGGACGACGTAGTTAGCGGCCACATTGGCGCCTCCCTAGCCCGCACAGGGGACGAAACGCTGAGCCCAGTTTAGTCACGATGTGGGGCCCCCTTCCTGAGGGGCGCCCCCGCGCCTTCGGGACGGACAGGTGGCTGCCGCCCGCCCGGCCGCACCGGCTCCGGCCTCAGGGGCGGGTCCCCGTCGGGTCTGCTCCGCGCGGACGCCCCGGGGCGCGGGTGCGGCGCTAATCGTCCCCATCGCAGAGTCGGTCCCGGGTCTCAGCTCCCAGGGGCTGGGAAGGCGGATCTGCCTGAAAGGTCGTTGATCGGCAAAGCCCCGAAAAGTGGGGCCGAGGGAACCGCTGGCAGGACGGGAGTCTGTCTCCCGTGGACCCCAAAGGCACCCCAAGAGCTAAGTCTTGGAGTCATTGTCTCCCGGGGGCGGGGGAACAGTGCGTCCTGTCCCCAGGCCGGTCCTCCCCGCCCGCCCTCCCGCTTTACTCTTCCTTTCCGCCCTGTTCTCCCCCCTCCCTCCCCCCAATCTCCCCGCCGTCTGCTCCGGGAACGTGCCTGCTAGACCTCCACTCAGGTCCCACCAACCCCCCGGAGCTGCCCGGGCCACTGGCCCCGCCGCATCGCCGCCGTCGCTGACTGCGCTTGACCTCCCCGCAGCTCCGGCCAGGAAGCCACCATGTCCTCCAACTGGAAGCCCTTGACTTCTTCATTTGACGCCTCGTCCGACTTTTCTAGTTTCACCTCCACCTTTTGCCGGTGCTTGGTTTTCTTTCCAGGCTCATCTTCTTCCAAATGGTGAAGTCAGTTGGTTAGAGCATTCTCTTGCACACCAGAAAGTGTGGGTTCCACCTGCGGAGGCAATGGTCCATGTTCCTCCCTCCACCCCTTTCTCTCTCTCTCTCTCTCTCTCTCTCTCTCTCTCTCTCTCTCTCTCTCTCTCTCTCTCTCTCTCTCTCATCAATAACGAGGATTACAAAAAGTTGAAGTTCCTCAATTCTTCGTCCTAAAACTTTTCTGGTCTTTATAAACCTTTCTTTGGCAAGTTTATTCACTGCCCAGATTTTACCCATCTGCCCTCAGCATTTTCAGATTTATATTTCTAGTTTATATTATTTCTCAGTTTTGATTTACTTGTCCTCTAAACCATCGATTTTCAACCTTTTTCATCTCATGGAACACATAGACTATTAAAATTCTTCAGCATACCAAAAATATGTTTTTTGCCAGTCTGACCAAAAAATTGGTATAATTTTGATTCATTCACACTGGACAGCCATTGTTGGATTGGCTGTTGTCATTTTTTTTTTTTTTTTTTAATTTAACAATCCAGGGAAAAGAGGACAGTGCCCCTGATTAAGTAAGCATGCTTTAAAAATTCTTGTGACAGGCTAGTTAAAAATTGCTGCTCTAGACCAATGCTTCTCCAACTATAGGAAAGGTTTTAAAATTTAAGATATGCCACAGATCAGCAAGTTTTAAAAATACAATAAGTTCGGTTGGCATGGTTCAATGGTTGAGAATCCATCTGTGGTTTGAGGCCAGGATTCAATTCCTGGTCAGGGCACATGCCTGAGTTGCAATGTGGGGTGTGCAGAAGGTAGCCAATCAATGATTCTCTCTCATCATTGATGTTCCCCTCTCTCCCTCTTTTTTCTTTTCTCTCCATCCCTCTCTCTCTCCCTTCCTCTCTGAAATCAATAAAAACATTAAAAAATAAAAATAAATAAAAGCTTCTATACATTTATTCTCATTTCTGTGCTTATTAGGAACCAGAAACAAATAGTTTGCCAACTACAATTTAAATAGCAGTGGGCTATATCTCTTCTCTTGGATTTTTCAGTTATTTCAAGACTGATCTCAAGAACTCCTATTCAGAAATCTAGGAGTCATGTATGACAGCTCATCTCTAGTATTCATTCCACCACCAAGTCTTGCTTATCACCTCAATATTTCCCACATTGCTGTTTTTCACTCTGTTCCATTGCTTCCACCATAATCCAGACACTGTCCTCTCTCATCTGGACTGCTTATATACTAGCCTTTCCATTTACTTCCTGCTCTGCAGCTGGAATGGTCTTTTAAATGAAGATCCTGTCACGAACCATCATTTCACCCCTCACTGTCCTGCCATTGCTTTTGGGTAAAGATCAGCAGCTTGATATCACCTTTGGCCTGAATGGTCTTGACCTTCCTTATATGCTTGTCTCCCACCACTCTCTGCCTGACCTCTTTCCTCTGATACACAGTACTCCCTTCTGCCCACATCTCTGGACATGTTGTTCTCTGCTCAGAATTAACTTTTTCCTCTTATTTTAGATAATTCCTACTCTTCAGATCTGAATTGAAGCAATATTTTCTTGGAGAAGCTTTCTCTTATTCTTCCAGATGAGATCAGATTCCACATTAAAGGGTTTCTTAGTGTTGTGTTTTTTTTTTTTATTGCATTAATCTTTGTTTATAATTATGCAGTTATTCAGTGATTTTAAAAAAAATCCTCACCTGAGAATATACTTTTTAAAATTTATTTTTAGAGAGATAGGAAAGGAGAGAGAAAGAAACATTAATGTTAGCGAGAGAAACATTGCTCAGTTGCCTCTCATCGTGGAACCTGCAACCTAGTTAATGTGCCCTGATCTGGAATCAAACCCGCAACATTTCAGTGTACTGTACAATGCTTCAACCAACTGAGCTACCTGGCTAGGACTCAGTGACGGTTTATAACTCTGTTATCCTGTTAGCTTGTCAGCTACATAAAGCCAAGGACTGTGTCTACTTCTGTATCCCCAGTGTCTAGTGTAGTGTCTATCGCATAGTAAAGATTTGCTGAATGACCAAATGGAATCTGGATGAAATTTCTTTTACTGTCTCATTAGTTAATTTAGCACATAAGTGCTCAATAAGCATGAAGTTAGTTACTGGGGATAGTGAATGTCAAGATCTATCTATATTTTTAAATGTATTTTTATTGACTTCAGAGAGGGAGAATCATTGATTGGCTGCCTCCTGCATGCCCCCCACTGGGGATTAAGCCTGCAACCTGGTCATGTGCCCTTGACTGGAATCGAACCCAGGACCCTCCATTGAGCCAAACCAGCCAGGGCAAGATTTTTTTATTTTTTATTTTTTAAAATATATTTTATTAATTTTTTACAGAGAGGAAAGGAGAGGGACAGAGAGTTAGAAACATCAGGAGAGAGAAACATGGATCAGCTGTCTCCTGCATACTCCACACTGGGGATGTGCCTGCAACCAAGGTACATGCCCTTCACTGGAATTGAATCTAGAACCATCAGTCCGCAGGTCGATGTTCTATCCACTGAGCCAAACCCGTCAGGGCAAGATTTTTTTTTAGATAATGAAAACTAATACCTACTCCATAAAACAACTTTTTATTTTTTAGTTAGCACTTATACTGTCTGGATTCTCAAAAGCTTTGGTTTATTTTGTTAAAATAAGAAGGGCTGCAATAGTGGTTTCTCCAGGATACAGTAAGTGTGTTCATGTGGTTATGTTGATAAAGGACTTTTATTTCCTCCAAAAGAAAGCATGCCTTAACTTCAGTGACAAAATAGTGCAAAAATCATTTTCTTTTGCTTCTTGGTAGATGACAAAGTTCCTAAAAAGTTCCAGAATTCCCTTGTTCAACTTGGACTTGGCACTATGAAGTCTGCAAATATAAGTATCGGCCGACCAGTGCTGCTTACCAGTTTACATGGAAAACAAGAGGTAAGAGTCCTTGTTGTCATTTACTTAGTTTGGAAAGATTTGAGGGTGTGTTTTTTTTTAATTGTAATTTTCAGAACAAGCAGGGAAAAATGAAAATCTATATTTTAAAGACCCTCACGCTAATGCAAAACTTTGCCCTTCTTTGATGTCTATGATTACAGTGGGAATATAGCCCTAAATGTCATAATGGAGAGAGAGACCTTTCCTTGGGAGGTAGTAAGACATCCACTTATCGTCCTTATTCTGCCCAGTCTGTTACTTTTCTCCTCAGAAACACTGTTTTGGCGTATGAAGTCATCTCTTTTTTATACAAACATTTGATTACTTTCTCTAGTTTCAGCTGGGTTTCTCCTTGTTGCAATTTTCAGCAGCTTGGCTTTCTTTGCTGCCAGCTCCTGCCTCTATCTTTGCCATATCTTCTCTGCTTCATTACTCAGTGTTCTCTCATCCCCTGGGGCCCTCTGGAAAGGTTTTGAAATCTCTTATCTGCTGGTGCCACGCCTCCCATTCTTTTCATAGTTCTGAGCTTGTATATGTAAATCTTATTGTTTAAAGTATTACAAATAGTACATGTCTCCCCCTCCCCCCCTCTTCCTTGCCTCCCCTACCCCCTGGGCACATTCCCTCCCCTCTTCCCCACAGTGTCTGAGTCCATTGGTTATGCTTATTGCTTGCATACAAGTCCTTTGGTGATCTCTTACTTCCCTCCCCCTCTACCACCACCCTCTGGAGTTATATTTTTAAAAACTTTACCTTGTCTTATGGATGAGAAGACACTAAATGTGTGAACCCAGCCCTCTCTCTGGAGCTTAACATTTGTCTGATGAGGTCCATGTTCCCAGGAACTCTGGTGCTGGGCCCTCACTACTTCTTGGATGTAGTTTATGCTCTAGGCTGGATTCGGGATTTTATCTCATTTTCTTCTCACCTTGGTCTCTTTTCCTAACTCCATCTCTCAGATCTTTCAGATCTTTCATAGTTTTCACTGTGGGGTCATTCCTAATCTTTGCAAAAAATGTAATATTTATAAAACTTTTTTGTACCTTTTGTCAGATTGTAACCCTTTTGGTGGTTGGCAGATCATGTACTTGGTAGCTATGCTTAATTTTCTGCTTTATAAATTACTGATATTCTGTGAATGTTTATTATCTCTCCTGGGCAGGTCTATACGGCCTGGCCTGTATCAGGATTTCCTGGAGGCAAGGTTGGGCTGAGTGAAATAGCACAGAAGAATGTGGGTGTCAGAGTTGGTGACGCCATCCATGTCCAGCCGCTTTTGGGTGCTGTGCTGCAGGCTGACGAAATGGACGTGGCACTCAGGTTTGGCCTTTTCTTTGGTGACTGAATCAGTGTTGCCTATTCCTAGTAGATATATAATAAAATTCACAAGTGTGAATAACATATGTAATTTTGCCTTTTCTAGTAACCACATTTAAAAAGTAAAGAAACGTGAAATTTATTATAATTCTATATTTTATTTAGCCAATATGTGTAAAATCTTATAACTGTAAAAAACTATTAAGATATTTTTCATTCTGTTTTTTAAACTAAGTCTTGAATATTCAGTGTGTATATTATAGTTAGAGCACATCTCAGTCTGGACTGGCCACATGTGAGTGGCTAGTTGCCTCCTGTATTACAGAGTGCTATATAACTTAGGGACTAGGGACTCTGTAGTTCCTATGATTAGAGTGTACCCTGACACTGTAGATGAGAGAATTATTGCTGATGGGTATTTAACTGTGTTTTTCATCTTGGACTGCAGTGTACTACTCAGGGCTTCTTATCTTTTTTTACAGCTATAAAGAAGGGAGTAGGCTACTGTGAGTAGGCAAGAAATAAGTTTTAATTAAGACTGTTCAAAGTATATATACATATAGATACATATATATTTAAATATATTTTTATTGATTTCAGGGAGGAAGGGAGAGGGAGAGAGAGAGAAGCATCAATGATGAGAGAGAATCAATGGTCAGTTGCCTTCTGCACACCACATTGGGTGATTGAGCTCGCGTGTGCCCTGACTAAGGATCAAGCCATAACCTTCTGGTTCATAGGTTGATACTCAATCACTGAGCTATACTGGCTGGGCTGATTATATATTTTAACTCATTGATTATTCAAGCTAGTGAGAGAGTTATTTCTATCAGATTTTTAAATATCTCCTCAACAAAGACTAGTTGTTTGAAGCAGCCTATTAATAGAATTAAAGCATATCTCCCATCCTCTTGGGTATTCTGTATCTAATATGATTTTGATTCAGTATACATATAAAAATATTATCAAAATTTATTTTTAAAAAACATCTTTTGAAATTTTAATATCATCCTAGTAACAGTTGAGGACTGTTGTTTATATTAAGAATCACAGAATATTTTCCAATATAGCTTGATTTTAAAATATTTCCTCTCCTTTGTTACTTTTATAGATGCCAAGCTTGAGCTTTGGCATATTTTTTCCTTTAAAAATACTTAACAAACATTTAACAAATGATGAAAAGCAGAAAGGAAAAGAAATACATGTGTTGAGCACCAGCTGTGTATTAGCACACATACATCTTTCCTTTTTCTTTTCATTTAATCCTGTAAACATCCTGCAAGGTATCCTTACCTTCCCCCTTTCACAGATAAGGAAATGGGCTCGGTGAGAAGGCTGGAACTTGCCCGTTCTTGTGTGGGTTGGTTAGTGCTACTGCTCAGATTGCACAGGATTCTTCTCCAGACTGACTTCAAACAGGGCTACAGGCACAGCACTCATTTGACTGGAGTTTTGATTATCACTCTTGAGGGCATAGCACTCTTAGGTGATAATGATTTCTTGCTATGGAAGGAATATATAGGTTTTCCATGGAAACTTGGCTTTAAACTTTTTATTTAAAAAAAAAAAATTGTTTTAAATGTTGCAGCAAGAAGAGCATACACAAAATTTTCAGTAAGAAAAGTCATTAATTTTTATCTGCTGCTTATATCCTTCATTCGTGCTATTTCTAAAACATTCCATTAGTAAGTTTAGAGCTCCTTCTAGTGGAAATGATTTTATTTGCACCTATTCATTTTTAAAAGCAAAATTGGTTGTTTTTGCTGTTCTGATACATATTACAAATATCTCTTATTCAGACTTTAATAGAGACAATTTAGGTATAACTAGGTTCAGAGTTGTATTAACTAGTAATTTTAAGCATTTATGGATACATATAATTTCCTCTTCAGTTTATATATTTACTAGAGGCCTGGTGCATGAAAATTTGTGCACAGAGGGGAGGTGTGTGTCCCTCAGCCCAGCCTGCACACTCTCTAATCTGGGTCCTCTCGAGGGATGTCCCACTGCCCATTTAGGCTCCATCCAGGTAGGATTGGCCTTAAACGGGCAGTCGGACATCCCTCTCACAATCCAGGACTATTGGCTGCCAACTGCTCACCTGCCTGCCTTCCTGATTGCTCCTAACTGCTTCTGCCTGCCAGCCTGATCACCCCTAACCACTCCCTGCCAGCTTGATTGATGCCTAACTGCCCACCCCTGCCAGCCTGTTTGCCCCTAACTGTCCTCCCCTGCAGGCCTAGTCACCCTCAACTGCCCTTCCCTGCTGGCCCGGTCTCCCCCAACTTCCCTCTTCTGCTGGCCTGGTCACACCTAACTGCCCTCCCCTGCAGGCTTGATCACCCCCAACTGCCCTCCCTTGCAGACCTGATCCTGCCCAACTGCCCTCCCTGCTGGCCATCTTGTAGCAGCCATCTTGTATTCATAGGGGTAGTCATCTTTGACAACATAGGGACAGCCATCTTGTGTGTTGGAGTAATGGTAATTTTGCATATTATTCTTTTATTAGATAGGATAGAGGCCTGGTCACGGTTGAGGGCCAGCTGATTTGCCCTGACGGGTGTCCTGGATCAGGGTGGGAGTTCCCTTGAGGTGTGGAGCAGCCTGGGTGAGGGGCCTGTGGTGATTTGTAGGCTGGCCATGTCCCCCAGCAATTCAAGTGGAGGCCCTGGTATTGGGATTTATTTATCTTCTATAATTGAAACTTTGTAGCCTTGAGTGGAGCCAAGCCTCCTGCTTGCTCTGTGGCTGCAGCCATTTTTGTTGGGATTTATTTATCTTCTATAATTGAAACTTTATAGCCTTGAGCAGAGACCTGGCCAGTTAGGACAGGCGGAAAGCTTGGCTTCCTCAATGCCAGGGAAACCCAAGCCTCCTGCTCTCTGGCTGCAGCCATCTTGGTTGGGTTAATTTGCATACTTGCTCTTGATTGGCTGGTGGGCATGGCTGGTGGGTGTAGCGGAGGCATGGTCAGTTTGCATATTACTCTTATTAGATAGGATTTGATTCATTAAATTTTCTCCTTGTATTTCTCTTTCTCACAGGAACATACAGTCAATTCTCATTATTTGTGGTATTGTGTTCTACAAAATAGTCCCTAAAACTGAATTAGCAAATATTAAACCATTGCTCCTTGGAGAGAGAGAGAAAGTGTGTGTGTGTGTGTGTGTGTGTGTGTGTGTGTGTGGGTGTGTGTATTTAACATATATAGATATAAATATGCAAATATGTATATTTATATAGATTATAATGTTAAATTCTTAAAACAATTTGTTCTGGTATGTCCTATTTTCTTCATTTTACAAAAGAGAAGAGGTAGTTTATAAGTGAGGCCATGTCACTAACAGCTGCTTGAATGAGATCTCAAAACTGGAACTTTCACTCTACATTACAGTGTCCCTCATCATCTCCAGTTGCAATCTTCTGGTCATCTGTGATGAGAGTTGAAAGAAGAAGGTGTTGTGTGACTCAGATTTTTGCCTACCTTACACACATCCATGAATGACTGGGAATGCTCTGCTAGTACTGGTTTTGGGGTTACAAATAAATTGTAGCATATAGGTGAATTTGCACATATGGAAACTGCAAATAATGAAGATCAACTGTATTGGTTTTGTTCCTGAGAAAATCAAGGACATGGCTTAGTTCTGGCACAGATAGGCCTGCTAAAGCAGCTTTCACTGAGCTTGATCATCCCCTTCCACTGATGTCTGGCAGAGCTCACAACCGAAGGCCACGTGGGCTGCTTACAAATGGATAAGAAGGAAAAATGCACATGTTTTCCAAGGACATGGTTCTGTACAAGTGCCATGATTTTTAGGGTTGCCTGTTTCCTGTACTCAGTGTTCTTCCTGGTAGACATAGTAATCAGTCAAAAAAGGGTTCCCATTTTTCTTAGCCATGCCCTTTCTTTAGAATAAACTTCCATTGTAGTCTCCTTTTTCTTATTTCTACCTCTTCAGATAAAATACAATATAGAGTTTATTTTTCCTGGAAGATAATTTATAAGTTATACAAAGGGAATAAATTAAGCTATTAATAAAAGCCCTTCGCCAAGTTATGGCAAGTTTGGTAAGGGATTAATTAAAGTCAGCATTTTTCTAATGTTTCTACTGACGAAGAATAAACATTTTTCATTGTACATACACATCTATTGTATATATACACATAGAGTGCACATGTACTTGTATACAACAAGTATATAGATGTTTGTGTGTAATAATGTCTTATAAAGCAGTATTTACCCTTTCTCTTTTTGATATATTCTGACATTTATATTCTATCAAAAAAGTGCTGGGTATGATTGAAATTATTATGATCCACTAGCGGGTAGTACCCTGTATTTGAAGAAAATTGATTTATACCAATAGAACATCAAACTACAAAGAAGATTTTCATGGCTATAAGAACTAGCTGAAACTTGTAAGTCATTCCAAATTGTGTAAATAATTTCCTTATTGTAAACTAATTATGCTTTTCCTTAGGTCTGCATTACAGCTATGTATGTGTTATATTACATTTAAGTTTCTGGAATCCTTAATGCTTATTTCTATTTTTCCCACCCCAAACCTTTACAGTGACAAAAATGTGGATATTAATGAAGAACAATTGGCTAGTTGTCTTCTGAGAAAACTAGGTGAGACATATTTTAAATATTTTTTTAAATTTTAAGAAGCAAGGCAACAGCATATACTGTAATGTGTCTTTGAGGTGTTGACTACTTGGTAGTTTTCTTCAAAATGGCATAGAGACTATCTTTCATCAATAAATGAATGTCTTATTAAGATAGGGGTGTGGGATTCTTTTTCCCAGTTAATTGATTGGTAGGTTAGCAACAAAGAGAGTATTCAGCATGTCTGGACAAAGTCAGTGGAATAACTGAGACTTTGAATCCTTGAGCTCTTGCTCTCTCCAGTGAGAAATGTTACATTGGTGTGTTGGTTTAAGTGTGCCATTTTGGGTTAGTTTATTATCAAATATATACTGCTTGGCTTTTTGTTAATGTAGTTGATAGAATCTTCCCCACTTCAGAGAATCATCTTGTCTTTCTTTGATCTCCAGATAGTGCTCCCTTATTAAGGGAATATTAGGGCCTTTATTTTTCATGGCAGTTCTTTTATTAATACTGCCTTCTTTGATTTAGTCTTTTTTTAAAAAAATATATATTTTATTGATTTTATACAGAGAGGAAGGGAGAGAGATAGAGTTAGAAACATCGATGAGAGAGAGTCATCGATCAGCTGCCTCTTGCACACCCCCTACTGGGGATATGCCCGCAACCAAGGTACATGCCCTTGACCGGAATCGAACCCGGGTCCCTTCAGTTCCCAAGCTGTCGCTCTATCCATTGAGCCAAACCGGTTTCGGCTGATTTAGTCTTTTGAATCATGTAGATTTGTTAATAGATAAATGCTATTTAAACATTAAATGGGTGAAAACTTGTGCTAACATAAATATATTTTCAATAAATTGTTTTCTAGATGGCAAGATTGTTTTACCAGGCAACTTTCTATACATTACATTCTATGGACGACCGTGCAAGTTGCAAGTGTTGCAAGTGAAAGGGGCAGATGGCAAAATACTGAAAAGGCTTCAGAGTGACCCTGATAACAATGCTCAGGGAATGGCCTCTAAACGGTCCAGCATAGAAGCCAGTACCCTGGATATGTCCCTACAGCTAAGCCAGTTGGATCTGGAAGATCCTCGTGTCCCACCATCAAGCAGTACTCCCTGCAAACCAGTACATGACAGAAAGATAAATAAAACTGGTGACAGTTTGTCAAATGTCACACAGAGTCCTGGTGGCAGCAGTGGACTTGGGCTCGAGGAAGTCACAGGTCTTGAATGTAGCTTTGCGTCTGCCAGAGGAGAAAACGTACTTATCAATGAAGAGAGATTCCTAAAGCCAGCCAATCTGGGAGCAAAGTGCAACACTGATACTTTCTACTTCATTTCCTCAACAACCAGAGTCAATTTTACAAAAATGGGTATAAATTCAAAAGAGCAAGACAACCTAATCAAAGTAACTTACGACATGATCGGAGGCTTAAATGGTCAGCTGAAAGCAATTAGAGAAATAATTGAACTTCCTCTCAAGCAGATTGAACTATTCAGGAGTTATGGTATGATTTCTTCAGTGTATTGTACCCAAAAGTATTCAAACTCAAAAGCAGTTAGCTCATTCCACTTATCTAATAATTGCTCACCTCTTTGCCTATTTTTCTTTCCTGAGCGGTAGGTATGATAGGAGGTGTGAGTTGCTTTGAGAGATGCCAGTTAAGTGATATGTTAGGTTGTAATGAGTTAGTTGTAGCCTTGCCTCTTTTAATTGCGTACTTTTACAGTTGTTTATATTGTATCTAGAATAAATTTTTTGTCAGATTACATCAGCTGTAATGAGTAAATAAATAAGCCAAACATTCAGATATGCTGGGTAAAACTTCTCAGGAAATGTAGCTGTGAGCAGATATCTGCATTGACTTGGTACTTAGGAAGCTCAAGGCTTCCTTTGTGTGGGTATTGCCATAGTACTCTTTTATTATATAGGAGGATACTCTCCATGTATTAGGTGCATACCATCTCTTTCTCTGCTTTTCCCCTCTTTTATGAACCTTTATAGGTATATAAAATGAACCCTTGGATTGACATTTTCCTAGAAATGCATATATGCTGAAAATTGAGATTGGTGGCTCGTTTTATGAGCTTTTTGTTGTCTGGACTTTGTTTTGATAATGTGGATTGGGGCATGACAACAGTGTCCAGCCAGTTTTTCACCAAAGTGCCTGGACAGGTTGACTCTATAGAGAGAGACACTGTCATTGCTGGAGGTCAGTGTTTGGGCTAGTTATATGTCTTCCTGGGAAGAATAAGGAAATGTGACTCTTTAGTTTCTGATGCAAGGTAAATTTATACTTTTAACTCATGTTTTAAGTCACATGACAGCACTTACAAGAAACCTAGTAGTGCTGAATCCAGTATTCTTTTTCTTCTAGGAATTCCTCCCCCTAGAGGAGTGTTATTGTATGGCCCTCCAGGTACTGGAAAGACAATGATTGCCAGGGCTATTGCTAATGAAGTTGGAGCCCATGTCTCTGTAATAAATGGTCCTGAAATTATAAGCAAGTAGGTGCATAATGTAATAAAATAAACAATATTATTATTATATACTAGAGGCCTGGTGCATGACATTTGTGCATTGGGGGTTGGAGTTGGGTGGGAAGGTCTCTCAGCCTGGTCTGTGTCCTTTTGCAAAGGAGTGGGCCTAAGCCGGCAGTTGGACATCCTTAGCGCTGCTGCGGAGGTGGGAGAGGTTTCCGCCATTGCCGCTGTGCTCTGTTCTTACCAGCTGTCAGCCCAGCTTGTGGCTGAGCGGTGTTCCCCCTGTGGGAGTGCACTGACCACCAGGGGACAGCTCCTGCATTGAGTGTCTGTCCTCTGGTGGTCAGTGCACCTCATAGCGACTAGCCATTCTGCCTTTTGGTCAATTTGCATACTATCCTTTTATTATATAGGAGGATCCTTCTTAAATTTTTTTTAGGGCTCAATAGTAAAGATTTAATTTAATTGCATGTAGATTACAGTATTAGCTGAGCTCTTTAATACCTACAAATCAGACATAATTGCATTTTTATGCAATTATGCAATACCACAATGAAGTATTAGAAATTAAAAACTTACATTATGATGATAAACTCTGCCTATGCTATTATTATTGGTAATAATAAATGAAACAATTTCAGATATAAGATTTATTACTGAGCTCCAATTATAATGGTTTGAAGAATGGGGTAAATGTCTAGAAATAAAACAGGTCCAGAATCCTTGTCAGAAAGATTGACATTATATCAGGTAAACCCAAGACAATAAGGCGACCTTATTCATTGAATAATCCTGGTTTGTTTGTTTTTAAAAAATATATTTTATTGATTTTTGTACAGAGAGGAAGGGAGAGAGATAGAGAGTTAGAAACAGATGAGAGAGAGTCATGAATCAGCTGCCTCTTGCACACCCCTACTGGGGATATGCCCACAACCAACGTACATGCCCTTGACTGGAATCGAACCCAGGTCCCTTCAATCCCCAAGTCGACGCTCGATCCATTGAGCCAAATCGGTTTTGGCTAATCCTGGTTTTTAAATAACTAACATTTAATCCTATATTTATCATATTACTGTAGCATTAGTTTACAAAACCTAAAATAGGTAATAATTATAGTCAAGTAAAAACATCAGATCTCAATATAATGCACTTATTTTTTTAAAGAAGTACTATACTTACTTTGGATTATTCCTTCATTTAATCTTTGTTTTAGTAGGTAAGTGGGAGTATCTTTTCAATTAAAATAAAATTCTGGACCAAAATTAGCTGAAATGAAAAACCAAAATATATGAATTATCTGTAACTCTAAAAACTATTTGTCTTTAGTGTTGACTGCATACTTTGCAATAATTTACAATTAATTCTTTTTCTTTACAGATGTAGGTTCTATGCTAGGTAGAAAATAAACATTGCCTTTGCAAACAGCAAAAGAAAACTAAGTCCTCACAGTTCACCTTAAAATATTAAAAATACTATTGAATTTAACAACACTGGGTACTTTTATTATATAGAACTTAATAATTAACAAAAATGACTCAATTCTCATGGCACTTTTCTAAGAAGATTTAATAAAAAAAAAATGTTGAGAAGCTTTCTGTTGAAAAAGAATGAGATAATGGCTACAGTTCTGAAAGGACCAAATTATACTAATCTGGTTACAACTGCTATCTTGTTTTCTCAACATATTCTAAAACAAGAAACGTGGCGTGCATTTATAGAGTCTATCATTTGATGATTTCAGGACCCTTGATTATAGTTCCATCTAGAGTAACCGGCACTATTAATCCAATTTAGATGTTTTTCTCTTCATATAACTGTGTCCCTCACTCTCAATAGCTTCATAGAGGCCTTTTTTATTCTCTTATGTTACATGTAGACAATCAAAGCCACACAAAATAAAAGGGCTGTCAATCCAAAATTACAGATTTTTTGTGTCTTGTTTTGATATATTTTTATTGATTATAGAGAGGAAGGGAGAAGGAGAAAGAGAAATATCAATGATGAGAGAGAATCATTATTTGGCTGTCTCTTACATATTCCACACTGGGGGTTGAACCCACAACTAGGGCATGTGCCCTGATGAGAGAATTGATCTGTGACCTCCTGTCTCATAGGTTGATGCTCAACCTCTGAGCCATACTGGCTGTGCAGGTTTTTAGGTTTATTGAAGAGCTTTGGATTCACAGCTCGAAATAAGGTTGTTGTGTGGATCTCTCTGAGCCCTAGATTTCCAAAGTCTTTCTCTTCGGGCGGTTCCTTTTTAAAGGTTGGAGGCTCAGGTGCTGAGATATCTTGGTTAATGATGATTCGTTACCTGCTGCAAGGTCGTCTCTCAGGCCTAAGATGCTCTGCTTAATGTGGTTTTTAAAACATCATTGCTTAAATAAAATAAAAAAACGGTAGCTTATATTCTGTCTGGATGTTTTACATGTTGAAATGTTTTAGGTTTCTTTTTTAATTTATATATAAATTAAGTTTGGAAAATAATTTTGGAAAGTTAATTTTAAGTATTCTGGAAATATTTGGAAAGTTTGAGAGTAGTTCCTTAAATATATTTTATTTGTTACAGATTCTATGGGGAAACTGAAGCAAAGTTACGTCAGATATTTGCTGAAGCCACTCTGCGGTATTCTATATTTTTCATGTTTGAACTTAGTAGTTAAGGCTGTGTTAATGAAAGTAGAGATGCCAACACTTTATACTAAGCATGAAAGAATAGCACAAAACTAGTAGTGGTAGCACTAGAAATAGGTTGTAAATCTAATATTTTATCTCATCTATTTCTATCTAATAACTTCCAGTTATTAAAGAAATAAGTCATGGGATGTGATGTATAGGATGGTGACTATAGTTAATATAACCATTTCATGTTTGAAAATTGTAAAGTGAGTAGCTCTTAAAAGATCTCATCACAAGAAAAAAGGTGCTGTAGCTTTACGTGGCAACAGATGTCATGATGACATCTTATGATCATTGCACAAAATAACAAATATTAAATTATGTTGTATACCTGGAACTAATATAATGTTAATTATATCTCAATTAAAAAAAAAAACGTAAGACATTGTTATTTGATATATTATTTGATAGAAGTTTATTATTTTCTTTTTGGTACTTAATAACTCTTTATGTTCAAAACTTTGTTTTGTTATACTTTGATTCAAAGGGACAAGTGTTTTGCTCTTTAACAATAATTCTTACTCAATATTGTTCCTCAAATTAGTTACCATGTTACGTTACAAGGATCATTAGGGCATGGTCTATAACTTGATCTAATATACGTAATATTATTCATAATATGGCTATGCTCTATCATTTTTTGGCATTTAACTTACCATAATAATTGCTCTCTTATTGAAAGAACTTCCATTTTTAAAGTATTTTTTTCCTAGTTATAGTAGATGAAATAAGTAATCTGTGGTCCTAATACTAAAAGTTTGAGAACCAGGGCATACCTTATTGTTTAGTATATTTTTGTTGTCATTGCTGTGTTGCTGGCAGTTGAGGTTTCCTCTTATGAAAGAATTCACATCTTTTTATAGGAACATTGACTATCATGAAAGTTATTTATTTATTTTTTTTTTTGTTAATCCTCACCTGAAGATATTTTCCATTGATTTTTTTTAGAGAGAGTGGAAGGGAGGGTGAGAGAAAGAGAGAAACAGGACAATGGTTATTTGATATCATGCGAGAGAGATACATCCATTGATTGCCTTCCTCAAGGTCCCTGATCAGGGTCAGGGAGGGAGCCTGCAACCCAGGTACCTGCCCTTGACCAAAATCAAACCCAGGACCCTTCAGTCTGCAGGCTGACACTATCCACAAGCAAAACCAGCCTAGGCGTAAGTAATTTTTTTAATAGGTAAAGTAACAGAGAGCATTTCTAATTTTGCTCCTTTGGATATTAATCCTGTTCCCAGAGACAGCATCTCTAGTGTTGGCTTCTGAATTGAGGCATAACAATGCAATAGGCATTAGTGGGCAAGTTCTGCCTACACATAGGCTCATCTCATGAGCAGTAGACTCTTCTCAGTGCTCTTCTTTTAAATGAGGGCAGATTCACTAGAATGTAATTTTGGTGAGTTAATAATTTGGGCTAGAATTCATCTAAGGTTTTCCAGTTTAACATCCTGTTGCCATTGTCTTTAATATTAACTAAATCCTAAATGTGACATGTCACATGTCAAGTTTAAAAATTAAATGTGTATTAGCTAATTCATTGTATTTGTTTGTTTTTAGGCATCCATCAATTATTTTTATTGATGAGCTGGATGCACTTTGCCCAAAAAGAGAAGGGGCTCAGAATGAAGTGGAAAAAAGAGTTGTAGCTTCATTGCTAACACTGATGGATGGTATTGGTTCAGTAAGTATAGCACCAGTATTGATTCTGTGTAGGAAGGGGTCGATTTTTAATCATTTGTGTATATATTGTAGTAAAAAATTTCAAATTCTTGAATTGTAGGGTATTCTAGGGTAAGGGAAAAATATTAGCTATAAACACTAGAAGAAAGGTCCATAATATAATTTTCTTTGGCAGATTTCTTAGTAACTGCTGGTATAGAATAACCTGGCATTTTTTCGGGCATATGAAATAATGTACAACAATGGATTTCTTCTGTAATAAATGTTATTAACTTAAAAACCTGAAACAAAAATCATAAGAAAGATTTAGTGGTTAAATTTTAGGAGAATTTATAAAGAAATTTCTTGAGTAAGTGTTTTATACCCATGTGTAAATTGATTCTTTGGGGGCAAGTGAAAGTAAAGAAAGTGAGAGTAATGTATTGTGCAACAATCTAAAAGGAATTTATCTTGTTATCACTCTGATGGCATATATATAATCCTGACAGCCATTTACCAGAAGAATATACTTATGCAGAACTTATTTTTTAGAATCTAAAGAAATTCTTAAAAGTATGTAATTCCAGGTCCTCCTTTTGCATTTTAAAAACTGAACCAATAGAACTTTTTTTTTTTTTTTAATTTTCCCCCATTGTTTTTTTAAAAAATATATTTTATTGATTCTTTACAGAGAGGAAGAGAGGGATAGAGAGCTAGAAACATAGATGAGAGAGAAACATCGACCAGCTGCCTCCTGCACACCTCCTACGGGGATGTGCTCGCAACCAATGCACATGCCCTTGACCGGAGTCGAACCTGGGACCCTTCAGTCCATAGACCGACGCTCTATCCACTGAGCCAAACCGGTTTCGGCCATTAGAACTTTTTGGGTTTTATTTTCTATAGGTAGAAATTGAACATGCAAAAATAATGTGAATGTTTAGTATCAAGTCTATTATTTGCTAACAATGTTATAATTTTAAGAATGACACAAGAGAAGGGTTGTTATCTGGGGGAGGCTAGATAACCACCTAGTCTCAGTCTTGGGGGAGCATCTAAATGTGATCAACCTGTCTCACTCAGGTTTGGTTGTCAGTTTATAAAGCTGGAGAATACAATGTTAGTATTTCGGAGATGGTTTGTGAGGACTGACAACCCACAATAACAACACTCATAAGACTGATGTATATACCGGGGTACTAGTTTGTTTATAATAAGAAATATAATTATTAAGCTGACCAAGTACCAGCTTTATGGAAAACTCTATTTTCACCCATAAGGGGTGTGTGTGTGTGTGTGTGTGTGTGTGTGTGTGTGTGTGTATGTATAATAATTAGAAACTTGGTGAGTAAGAAGTCAGATGAAAGACTGTGTTGGAGTATCTTAATTACTGAGTCACAGCTGCCTTTTCTTCTGTCTGTGGGACAGACCTGCTGTGGATTGGTGTTCTTGCCTTTGGATAGGATTGGAAGCAGGTGACAAATGTTTAAGGGCCTATATTTTTGTCTTCTAAACTCACAATTTGTGGATTCATTATAATCTATTTTCTGTTGGCACATCCAGTGTAATTGATTAGGTTTGAGTTTTCTTTGAATCACATTTCAGTTAAATTTGTTTCTCTGAGGTTACACTTGGGTCTTCTGAATAGAATGTTGGATACTTTCTATAGGTGACTGATCATGATCATAGATTTAAAAAAAAAATCCTCACTCAGTATGCTTTTATTGATTTTAGGGGGGTGTGGAGAGAGAGAGAGAGAGAGAGAGAGAGAGAGAGAGAGAGAGAGAGAGAGAAGAGAAAAGAGAATTATCAATGTGAGAGAATCATTTATGGGTTACCTCCTGTATATCACCTGACTGGCAATGGAACACACAACCTTTTGGTGAATGGAATAACATTCCAACCAACTTAGCCACCTGGCGAGGGCCATGGTCATAGTTCTTTATAATTTCACTAGAGGCCCTCTACACTAAGAATTGTGCAAGAATGGGCTTTCCTTCCCCTGGCTGCTGGCACCACCTTCACTCTGGCCTGGAGCCGCCTTTCTGTCTTCCCATGCTGCCCAAAGGCCCAGAGCTGCTGGGGTGGTACAGAATTCCTGCATAGTCACCATGGTGGTGACACAAGCATCCTGCCCCAATCCCAGCTGCTGGGCAACTGTGTATGCAAATTAACCCATCATTTTTGTTGGGTTAATTTGCATACTCACTCCTGATTGGCTGGTGGGCATCAAAGGTATGGTCAGTTTGCATGTTTCTCTTTTATTAGTGTAGATTCTCAGAGAGTTAAAGTACATATATTTTCAAGGTGGCTGTTACTTTGGCGTTGGTTATATTGCTGTCTATGTTTTTAGAAATTTAAAAAAAGAGTCCCATTTGTTAAGACTATCTCTTTGACAACTATAAAAGATCTCTTCTATTTAAATAATCTGTAGGCTATAATCTTTGCTTTCAAGTAGGGGAAAAGGGCAATTAAAATATTTAAATTAAAATAACAATATGATAGGATGTTAAATATGTTATTCATAGGAAAAGTGTGGGTAAGATGTTAGGTGTGGGAGAGACATACTTGTGATAGATGAATGGCAAGTATTGGAAAACTAGGTGAGGGATCATTTAGCTAAGCTTTGGAAAATGTAGGATGAATAATAAAAGTGTAAGGGATAGGACTCAGCAGCCTGGATATTTGGATCCATCCATCTTTGCCTATATAGCATGTGAGTGTGTATTTTACTTGTAGAAGAATAATTAGTTTGTTATTATTTTATTTTGTTAGGAAGGAAGTGAAGGACAGGTATTAGTTATTGGGGCCACAAATCGTCCTCATGCTTTGGATCCTGCACTCCGCCGACCTGGACGATTTGATAAAGAGATTGAGATTGGAGTTCCTAATGCTCAGGACCGGCTAGATATCCTTCGGAAACTGCTTCGAAAGGTACCGCACGTACTCACTGAAACTGAGGTGCTTCAGTTGGCAAACAGTGCTCATGGATACGTTGGATCAGACTTGAAAGCCTTGTGTAATGAATCAGGTGAGATTGATTTGCTATATGGTTAGTTTGTGTTGTTGGATTTAATAACTCTGGTTTATTTGCATACTTATCATTTATATCTCATTTCTTAATGAAAATAGGTTTTTTGGTTTTTTTTTCCTAATCATAAAATAGATATTTATTGAAAAATAGCTGAATAATTCAGGAAACTATATGTTTAAAAGGCTAATATGCAAAGTTTCCCCTCAGGAGTTAGACCAGGAGAAAGGAAGTTTTATCACTCGCTATGACGTGTGCTGACAAGTGGGTAGCATGGAACATGGCAGGCGACTAGCATTGGTGGCAGGGTACTAAGGGAGCGAGGGAAGGAGGAGGCAAGGCGGCAGGGAGGCAGGGAACCTGATTGGCCTGATCGCTGGCCATCCATGGATTAGAGACCCAACCCATGCATCGATTTCATGCACGGGGCTCTACTAAAAAAAAGTCACCCTTAATTGTACCTCCTAAAAATAACCACTGTTATAGTATACTATAAGCCTGGTTCACAAAATTCATGCATGGGGGTGTGTGTCTCAGCTCAGCCTGCAACCTCTCCAATCTGGGAGCCCTTAAAGGGATGTCCGACTGCCTGCTTTGGCCCGAACCTCTTGGGATGGGGCCTAAATGGGCAGTCAAAATCCCTCTCACAATCCAGGACTGCTGGCTCCCAACCGCTTTCCTGCCTGCTGGTCTGATTGCCACTAACCGCTTCTGCCTGCCAGCCTGATCATCCCTTATCCACTCCCCTGCCAGCCTGATCGACACCAAATTGCTCCCTTGCCAGCCTATTTGCCCCCAACTTCCCTCTTCTGTCAGCCTGGTCACCCCTAACTGCCCTTTCCTGCAAGTCTGGTTGCCCCAGCTGCCCTCCCCTTCAGGCCTGGTCACCCCCAACTGCTCTCCTCTGCCAGCCCAGTCACCCCAAATTGCAGGCCTGATTGTCCCCAACTGCCCTCCCTCGCAGGCCTGGTCCCTCCCAACTGCCCTTCCCTGCTGGCTATCTTGTAGCAGCCATCTTGTGTCCACGTTGGAGTAGCCATCTTTTTCCACATGGAGGTGGCCATCTTTGACTGCATGGGGGCGGCCATTTTGTGTGTTGGAGTGATAGTTTGCATATTACTCTTCTATTAGATAGGATATGCTTTCAAACTTTTCTTAAGTATATACACACACACACACACAAACATGTAACTGGATGCATTAATGGTAGTGTTAATGATGACAGTATTTATTAACATTATGTTATGGAAATTAGGGTACTACCTGCAAAAATCAAAATACCAAGGATCAGCTTTGTATTTGTTGAATTGCTTTAAAAGTACTTAGTGAAACCAGAGAATTCTATGCCTCAGAGTATGTGGTAGTGATATTTAAAGTAATATTTAAGTCTGAAAACTTAAGGGCCATTACAGGCAGTCTTTGGGTTATGTCATACTCGATGTACATCGTTTCATGGTTACGTCACCATCTCCCATTTATTTATTAAAAAAAAAAAAAGTTCCATCATTTTGACGTATGTCCATAAGTGCTTTATGGACAAGTAAAGGTCAAGAATTGTTATTGTTCTTTTAAATTTTTTATTGTTTCACTTCATTGCTGCTATGTATGTGCTCCATGTGAGTGATGTAGGTGCTTATGTAAGTTCCGACTCATGGCGAAAATCGTGTTACCTTGCGCCGAAGTAACCCGAGGACCTACTATATTATTCAATTGGCTCTTTGACTTTAAGAATTTCACCATGGCATAACTACAGTTACTTTCGAAACCCTTACACCTTTTCATATTTGGGCAATTTTTCAGAGTAATTCCAACCAATAAAAGGTATTCCAATTGGGGCAGTTTTTTATAAGCTATTGAAATATTTGATCTGGCAAATAAGAATTTGTTGAAATATATCTGCTGGGTTTTTTTTTTCCCCCTCCGGAAAGCAGGTGTTTATTTTTTGGTAATCTCTAAAGACTGGGCATATATCTCAAAACATTTCTGGTTTACCGGTAATCTTATATTCTTACATTTATTTCTTTTTCTGATATGGACATTTGTTTCTAAGTCCTTTCATATTTTGTAGGAATTTTTTTCAGCTGTCGATTCTTTTCTTGTAGTTTGTGAGCTAATATTTTAAAAAAGTTTAACTATTGCCCTTGCTAGGTGGCTTAGTTGTCTGAAGCATCATCCCATACACCAAAACGTCTCAGATTCAATCCCCAATGTGGGCACATACCTAGGTTGCCACAGTTCAGTCCACAGTCAGGAGGCAATCGATTGATGTTTCTCGTCTCTCTCTCTCTCTCTCTCTCTCTCTCTCGCTCTCGCTCTCGCTCTCGCTCTCGCTCTCGCTCTCGCTCTCGCCCTTGCTCTCGTGCTCTCTCGTTTCTCCCTTCATCTCTCTCTGAAATCAGTTAAGAAACATATCCTTAGCCCTAACTGGTTTGGCTCAGTGAATAGAGCGTTGGCCTGCAGACTCAAGGATCCCAGGTTCAATTCTAGTCAAGGGCAAGTACCTTGGTTGCGGGCACCTACCCAGTAGGGAGTGTGCAGGAGGCAGCTGATTGATGTTTCTAACTCTCTCTTTCTCTCCCTTCCTCTCTGTAAAAAAATCAATAAAATATATATATATATATATTTATATATATATGAAATATTCTTAATGAGGCTTAAAATAATAATAATAATAATAATAATAATAATAATAATAATAATAATAATAAAAGTTTAACCCTTGATGTAATGGAAAAAATTGAAGTTTTGAGTTGGAATTTTAATTATTTTAGAGGTTTAGTACAGATATATGGTTACCTTTACCTTTAAGTCATTGATTCATAGCTAATCTAATTTAGTTGGCTTTGAAGACCCTTCCATTAGTGCATTGGTCCTTCTGATCTTGCCAGATTGCGTGAATGAAAGAGCTTGGAGAAGGAAAAATGAGTGGGAAAGGAAAACTTGGAAGATATACTTAGGAGTTTTTCAATATCTTATTTTTGGTGGAGAAAATCAGTTTTATTTTATTCTATTTGATCATTATGAAAAGGACTCACAATAGGAGGAAACTACAGGTTATATAGACAAAGGCAAATGTAAACATTCTTGTGGTACATTCTGGTCTAGGACAAAGCGCTTTCTGTCTAGTTTCTTGTGCTTTATAAGAAATGGTGGGTTTGACCATGGAACTGAATTATCTAGTGACCAAGAAGGAGATAAATCAGTGGATAACTTTGTTTCCTTCATTCCATTAGGTAATAATGAAGTGTCTGGGTTACAGGCATATCTCATTTTGTTGTGCTTTGCCTTTTTTGCATTTCACAGATGTGTTTTTTACAAATTGAAGGCAAGCCTCTTCACCAGCAAAAGGAATTGCCACACACTTTATTAAGATACTGGCGTTATTGTGTTGTTCTGGAACCTGTAGTATTTATATAGGCTTTGCTTTGGACTTGCCTATCCTGGAAAGGATTCATTCTTCAACATCCTTTATCAATAGTTACTGATTTTCTCATGTATACATTCTAGGTAACTTTGAGGTACATAAACAATTTGATGAAGCGAAGAGATTTGTAAACACAGTGAGGTACATACTAAAAAAACTATGGGAAATGTAGTGATTTCCCTTTGGGGAAATGAAATGCTATGGTTATATAGCAAAAAAGTGACATCTGAAGAGAAGCCTAAAGAAAAAGTAAAAGAGTTCTACAGACAGAATGAGGGCTTGAGAAGGTGTGGAGGAGAAAACAACACCCTTTCCTCCAATTCTTACACCAGCCTTATGATCTGAGTATCATGTACTCAAGAGGTATTAGCTGGTATGTGGCAGAGCTGGGGTTTAAACTTCAATCCATCTTACTCTAAATCCATGCTTATAATTAATAAAACAGACTTTTGTTAGAGTGGTATAGGCTTTTAAATTTACTTTATTTATATACAGCAGAAAATATCCATATTTTTTCACAAGTGTAGTCCAGAAATTAAGTTGTGTCCTGAGATTTTCAAGAGAGAAGTGAAATGTAAGAAGCATACCAGATATCAATAGGACTATCTACTTTCACAGGCACTTTACTACCTCAAGAACTTTAGGGAAATAGCAAGAAAATTTGAGAAATTCTAGTCCTTGCAATCTTACATTTAATTGAAAAGGTATGAAAGAATCAAAGATGGGAAGGAGAGAGGCCTCTAACATAAAGATAAATAGATAGATAGATAGATACATAGATAGATAAAAAGTTGTACTTAGTATATATAAGCAGTAAATAAATAATTAGCTTCTTATTATGTTAATGGAACTTATAATTGCAAATGATCAGGTATTAAATCAGTCTCTTATTTTCCCCTAATCTAGCAATCAGATTATGAGAGGTAATTTTTAAAAAGATGAGTATTATAATTAGAGTCCAGTAGGAAAAATATGTGATTTTGTGGATATTGTCTTAAATTATTGCTGGCATTATGTTGTTTTGTGTGGTGCTTTCTCACTATGTTACAGAATACAACTTAAGAGCATTGTGCTAGAATAATTTTGCAAGGGATTTTTCTAGAGAGTCAGGGAGGTATAGTAAAAAATGGATTTTGAGGGTTGGACAGACTGCCTTTGAAATCAGGCTTGTGATCTTGGGAAAATTCTTTGTCTTTCCTGAGTCGTAGTTTTCTTCATCTATAAATTGAGGGTGTTGTGGTACACATTATCTAAGTGCACTTGTAAATACGACATTCCCTTGACATAAGGGAGAACAAGAAAGAAATTGAGGGGTCACGGAGGAGGGCAGGAAGAATTAGAAAAAGGAGAGCGGAAAACAACAAAGAATACTCAAGTGACTCCCTAACTTGGCCTGGTCTCATTGGTCACTTTGCTAATGTGACAAATTGACTTCCATGGAAAGATTTCTCAACTGCCTTAAACCAGTGCTTTTCAGGAGGCATTTTCATTGCTCAAAATCATGCTGTGTTTAAATGGACAGCTTGAGAATGCCCATTGGCATATCTGGGAAGTATGGCATGTTGACTTCCAGATC